GAGTGACGATCTTCTCGACGCACCCACCGCTCCCTACCAGCAGCTCGCTACTGATAGCGTGATCTTGGCGAAAGGCGATGAACACGTTGGCATCGGCATAGGCGGAATAAAATCCCACCATGTCATCAGGGATGTGTTTTCCGGCGCAAGGGTCGCATACCCGGTCTCTAAGAGAGACAGTCCGTCGCACGCAAGGAATCTCAGGCATTTCATTGGCCTCAGAGCCAACGAACTCGCTCCACACTGTCTCATAAAAATGGATGAAGCTGGGGAGTTGCATGCAGCGGCCGAGGAAGTAGGGATGATCCCCGAAACCTCGTTGCCGAATCGCTGGCCACACAACTCCGAGCTCGAGCGAGATGTCCGAGAGGAGAAGGAGTGTTGCAGGAGCATACACCATCAATCGGGTTTGCCCTACTGTCTGCACACGCATTCCTACCCCTTTGCATGCCTCTCGATGTCTTTCGACCGACCGTCCACATTCGATCCGACAAAGACGCAATGGGAAGCACTCACCAAGGAGAAGTTCGATGGCGTCCGCTGTTGTTTCGGACAACTCGTTTGGTATCGCCTAAAGTCAGCTGGAAAGAGAACCCTAGAACCTAACATGGCCCCAGGCTTGTTCATGGGTTGGCGTATCGATCCAGGGATGCGATATCGAAGGGTGCTAAAAATTATGGATTACCAAAGTTTCAGAACCAACGGTAATGTTACTGTCCATGACGTGCCCGAACCTGAGTTGTTCGTCGAGGAAGGCGATCCTGTTTTCCCGATCGCGGCCGCTGCCGATCGAGCCCTGCGAGCAGGCGATGGCGAGGTTCCCGAGTATGCAATCAGGGATGTTCCTTTCATTCCTGAAGGCATCCCTGCCCCGTCAACTCCGTCAGGCTTTAAGTCACGAAGTGTGTACATCACCATTGAACGGATTATAAAGTTCAAGGAGACCCCTGGATGCAAGGCCTGCACCGGCCATGCTAGTTCTAGGCATCACACTGACAGAGCTAGTTGAAAGTGAGAAGGAAGAAGCGAAGGCCAAAAAGGCCGCAAGTGAGGAGGCCACCAAGCCAAGTACGGGTGCAGATGAGGCAGCTGCTATACGCGCTGCAAAGGCCGCCTCCCTAGAACCCCCAGAAGCCCCAGAGATCGAGGATCGTCCGTGCCTTGCTTGGGCCTCTTCTCGGCCCAGTGTTCCGCATACCGACGCTGTCCCTGCATCAACCAAGAAGGATGAATGGGTTTATAAGCCTAGTGGCAACGTGTTAATCCGCGTGCATCATCAGCCTAGGATTAAACTTTTCACTCCCAAGGATGTCGGTGATTGTCCCGTGTCAGTGTGCAGGATCACACCCGGTAGGACCACTCGCGTTGTGTCCCAGCAAGATGGTAGCAAGGAAGATATCAGGGATGGTTGGGCAGGCAGATTCTCAGCAAATCGAGAACTCCCTGCGTTCTGGACTGGCATAACCATTTTTTGGTTATATCGTGATTCCGGGCATTCGGCTGCAGCTTTAAGCGCAGCAGGGGGGCTCAGTCCTCACGAGGGTAACATCCCAGTCAGCTCAGGAGCAGCCGTCACCGTGTCAACCGCATCCAGCACAACACTTGCTGAGACCACGAAAGAGAAGCCATCCGTTTTCGGTAACCCTTGCCAGCTTCAGGGGGGCGATGAACGCCCTCCGCTTACCGTTGGCAACAAGCGTGCTCGCAAGCGCCTAGCGCGTGATGCTGTTGGCCCGATGTTTGAATTTGCTTGTTCACCTAATGTGTTCAAGGATCTCAACATCCCACATGTCCGATTAGCAAAGGAGTACATTGACTTAGAGTCAGCCGTTGCGGACGAGCAGCTCGCGTACCAAATCTCGCAGTGTGTCCAACCCAACTTGTGGGCAGCCATTCCATGTGTCTCAGGATCACCTTGGCAGAGGCTGAACCTTCACAGATTGGGTGAGCCGTTCAAGAAAAAGTTAGGGGAAAAAGTCAAGCAATCCAAAGTGATGTTTTCAAAGTTTGCGTTGCACGCCGAGCATGTTTTGAAGGCCGGTGGATCAGTCACTTTCGAGTGGCCGCGTGACTGCGACGGTTGGCAGAGACCAGACGTTGCCGAGTTTTTCGAACGCCACAAGGATGTGTTCCATGGTGCTTCGTTTCATGGCTGTGCTGTTGGTTTGACGGATGAAAATGGTTCACCCATCAAGAAGCCTTGGCGCATAAAAACTACATCAAAGGCCCTTGCCGAAGCATTCGCTGATCGCCAGTGTCCGCACTCAAAGTCCGAAAACATACTCCAGCGGCAGGGAGCCGAACCTCCCGCACTGCATTCTATCCTGAGCAAATGTGTGGTTTGATCGCCAAAGCGCTGTATCCCAAAGTGTGTAGGACTCCGATTCAAGCAATGCCTGTTGTTCCGGTCACTCGGCAGACGGAGCATCGTGTTAAGGAGCAATCCCTAAAGCACGAATCTCCTCTTTCCGAAGCAGATGACTTCACCCTCCTCGTCGAATCAGACTCTAAGACGAAAGAGATTGTTGAGGAGCTCCTTGATGTCCAAGGTCTACTTGCCAGTGCTGTCGGCATGCCCGCCAAAGCTGTCGAAACAGAAGCGCATGCAATGGTCACCAAACTCCTGTCTCGTTCCGAGATGCTTGCATCTCCTGAAGCATTAGAGGCAATCAAGCAGGAGGCGACCGGACTCCAAGATGTCGGAGTATGGGATAATTCAACTGTCCGGGAGAAGGCTGAGGTCGCAGCTCAAGCGCGACAGTCCGGAATAAAGGTGCACTTTGGTCAGCTCATGACGATCGCCAGTATCAAGTTCTATGAACTTGCGAAGCACCTCCAGAAGGTAAAAGGGCGCATCGTGTTCAGGGGAGATTGTGCAAAAGATGAAGCCGTGCACCCGCGGTGTACCAAGAACTGGGGGCAAACCCCACCTCGGTACAAGGCCTGAACGCCTGCCTGGCATATGGGTGCATCCAGGACACAAGGCGGTACAAGCCTATGTCCAGGCGTTCCTTAGCTCACAGTTTCAGACGTGGATTGAACTCCCGCCTGAGCTGCGGCAGGAATGGGGTTCCAAGTTTGTGAAACTCGTGATCTTGTTGATTTGTGCCCTATATGGTCACCCTGACGCAGTGTGGGAGGCACACCTTAAGAAACTGCTTAAGCAGCTGGGAGGGGAAGAAATCCCAGAGTTTCCTGGAAACTTTTTCTTTAAAGGGGCAGGCCTCATGCTCTCGACTTATGTCGATGACTTGACCCTCTCAGGTCCCGCAGATGCACATGAAGCCTTTTGAGAAAAGCTTACAACGATAAATGTAGAGCCTCCCGAGCCGATTTTTAGGGTGTAAGCGCATTAAAGGGTGCCGTCGCCTTTGACATGAACGACTATGCCCGTCAAACCGTAGAACTGTTTTGTTCTATAACCGGCACTCAGCCCGAGAAGCTCCGGAAGGTAACTACTCCATTCTGCCCAGACGGATCACTTCCTCCTGAAGACGACCAGTCAGCTGGTGAGCTAGCCCCAAACGCGTGCAAACTCCTCATGCGGGCCTTCTGGCTGGGACGACTAGCGCGTCCTGATATCATCAAACCCATAGGTGACCTAGCAACCGCCGTGCAGAAGTGGTCTCGCAACCACGATAGGCAACTCGCCCGTCTCGTCGCGTATATCCACTCGACCACGCACTACCGGTTGGTAGGTGTCATAAAGGACAATCCGCAAGATCTTCACCTCGCTCTGTATGCGGATGCCGACTATGCTGGAGAAAGGACGCGAAGTCCACGTCCGGTGGCTTCTTGGTCCTCAAAGGGCCGAAAACCCATTTCCCGTTAGCATGGTTGAGTAAACGACAGACATCAGTGTCGAGATCCACCACCGAAGCCGAGTTCGTGTCGCTCACTTTCTCCTTGTATCAAGAGGGCCTTCCCTCTTTGACCTTGTGGGAGCGTTTGCTTGGGCGCCCGGTTGAGTTGGTGCTGCACGAAGATAACCAAGCCACTATGCTCGTTGCCAAGAAAGGTTACTCCCCAAGGATGCGGCGCATACAGCGCACTCACAAGGTGAACCTGTCCGCACTTGCTGAGCAACTTGAACCCGGCACGGGTGTAGTAATCAAGTATGTAGCTACCGATCTCCAGGCAGCCGATATCTTTACGAAGGCTCTGCAGCCCTTAAAATGGGACCACGCACTAAAGCTTTTAGGCATCAGAACCAATTTGCCTGAAAAGCTGAAAGATGTCCGGCCTGAGATGTCCAAACAGTAACAAAAGTGCAAAAATCATAGGTAAGCCCTCCTTATGGTCTGGTAAAGGACCTTGCTCAAGCGCGACTGTAAAATACAAGTCTCTTAGTGAGCACGGGGAGGGGGGAGTTGAATAATCACGACCCCTTGACCCCCAAAGAGGTACCCCAGAAGGGTGTGCATGCATGTGATGTTGGAGGCCCCGTTGATAGCACGAACATGCTGAATGGCAATGCCCATTTGGCTCAAGATTCAATGCCCATCATAGAAACAGGGTTTGCGCTCGCCTACCGGACTGGGGTTAATAAGGGTCCCGGTTTCTGGTTCGCTGTGTTTCTTTCCCTGTTGAGTTAAACACACCTAAATAAGCCCCACACACGCGCATGGCAAGGGCATGTTTTGGTTTTCAGGGAGGATCCCGACTCCCCAAATCAAGGAGCTTTCCATTTAAGAGTTCGTTTTTGGCGGCCAATTGGCGGAAGCCTAATTCGATGTTGCACGTTTTGTTTCAGGAATGCCAATTCCATGGGCCAATGGAACGCGTTTCTCGGTTTGTGTGCCATGGATTTGTTTAGCTGGTGCTGTCGAAACAAGGGAAGCCACACTTTAGGGTTCACCCGTTCGAAACCAATCCTATATCCACTGCTCAGAGCCCACGGAAGAAAGAAAAGACAACGAAAGATGACTACAGGAGGGCAAAGCCGCAACAACCAGCAAGCACACCAAAAAAAAGGCTCAGACCAGCACAAAAAAATACAGGACGACTACAAGAAGTTCTACGAGCAATTCGGCAAGTGCTTGAAGCTGGGTGTGCACGAGGACAGGGGATCTATGTTTCCTGCGTGGAATTATCTACACATGACCATGTGTGTGTGTGTGTGTGGTTCGAGGGCATTGTTCCGGTTGGTTTAAAGGACAACACGCTGGCCTCCCATCGAACTCCAGAGTTCTGCTTGTCGGTTCCCAAGAAACCAAGGTGGAGTTGAAGATCTTTGCAAAAGGCCCGGGGTGGGGGTGGGGGTGGGGGTGGGGGTGGGGGTGGGGGTGGGTTTAAGTCCCGCGGAAAGCTCAAGAAAACACGCCCTGGGCTGAGCGTGCACTTCCCTTTCGCAGTTCCCCAAAAGTGCTCCGCACAATGGGCTGGAACCCGCCTGTACGACTCAACCGTTGGATTCAACCGGTAGAGTTTTTTCCCCCCAAATTGCGGCTTCAGGGAAGCGGGTCTAATTCCCACTGAATGGTGCACCATTTCAAGCCCTTGGCTGGCCATGAGCAGCCGCATTGTATTTGGCTTTTAAGGCCAAATCACGAGGACAACCACCATTCAATGGGCCCCCCAAAAAAACATGAACCATGCAAATGTTTTTTTCCTCAACAACACCCCCGGCTTTCTATTCTGGCTTCAAGGACAAAGTAGTGACCAGGCATGAGAATCCCACGAAAGGTGTCACAAAAGCTGTGACAAAAGAAGCCATCTTTTTTTTTTTTGCGGACTGAGCCAGCCAGCTCCCTCTCGAGAGAGGACTCCACCAACCGCACCAAGATCGCGGAGCTCCTGCGGTTCCACACCTCCAAGAGCGGGGACGAGCAGATCAGCCTCAAGGAGTACGTGGACCGCATGAAGGAGCCCCGAGCTGTTCTGTTCATGGGGGGGGCGTTGGGGGTTTGGGGGGTTTGGGGGGTTTGGGGAGTTTGGGGGTTTGGGGGGTGGGGGGATTGGGTGGTAGCAACCAGACTTCGATTTCAACTTCCTAAAGGGCTGGGCCGGACGCACCTTCGATCTTTTGGGGAAGTGAAGAGAAGGTTGTGGGGGCGCAGATCCGTCTGAACAGAAACACCCAGTTCCACTGATCAGTCTGGGAATAAAGCAAATCCAAGCCGAGTACTTCGGTTCACCATGGAAAAGGAAGCTGCGGTGTTCCAACACTCTGGGATGCAGCGGCTGGCTCTAGAGAGCCAGAAGAGGACATGGGTCAACTCAGAGAACAATCACAATGTTGGGTTCCCCTTAAAAGCAGGTACCCATTTTCAGACACTGTGGTTTCAAGCGTGTAGCATCCGTTGCCAAAGCAGACAATAGGAGTTTATGCAGTTTGCCAGGATACCGACGGAACCCCCCTTAAGCGAGAGCGTAGTCATGAGGATAGCCCATTTAGGTACCACGCACAGAGTTGTTCTTCCTGAGGGACGAAATCCATTTCGCACTACATTGAAACCATGTGAAACCATTGTTTGTTGGTATTTACGGTGGAATCCTCATTCCAGGGATTCTTGGGTGGTGCGAAACGGATTTCGTCCATCCACAGTATGAGTATGTGCCGGAATAGGGGGATCCCCGAAGACTCTGGTGTTCCTTTTGGTTTCCCTTTAACTTTAAACCAACCAGAAAAAAAAGGGTTCCAACTTCAAAAAGCACTCCCCTTCAATTAGTGTTTCATAGGATGCCACAAGGAATCCAAGCGTAGAACCTTTTGAGAACCCATCCTAAACATGATACAACCGACCGACCGACCAAGCAGCCGACCAACCAACCATTTTCATTGAACCAGCCCTGATTCAAAAAAATACGCTTATAAGATATGGCACAGGGAAGCCAGCAAGAATCCCACTGTTTCAGGCTAGTGGATCTTCGGGGACCTCTTTGAGATCCGATCTCCAGCCGACCCACTAAGAAAATCAACCAACTGGCCAAGAGCCAGGCAACCAGCTCTGTGACAGTCCAACAACCCCGAAGTTCTGCTCACCCAGGCCAATTGCACCCCTAGGGAAGCCACAATCCGAGCAACTCATGGGATCTGAGGGGACCATGAGCCTCAACAACCAACGGCGCGCGAGCGCCCCACTGCAACCTGTTTCCCTTTAAACCAACCTGCGAAAGGACAACTTCCAGCCTCAAAAACCCGCGCACTGCGCGCCCGCCCAGCCCAACTGCACCAACCAAAGGGACATTTCGAGCCTCAAAAACCCACGCCCAGACCGCCCAGACCGCCCAGACCGCCCAGACCGCCCAGACCGCCCAGACCGCCCAGACCGCCCAGACCGCCCAGACCGCCCAACTGCAACCTGAGGAGGGCCAGAATGACATCTACTACATCACCGGAGAGTCTATCCAGGCCGTGTCCTCCTCGCCCTTCCTGGAGACCCTGCGCAAGAAGGGCATCGAGGCGATTGCGCGTTGCAAGTCGTTTTTATATATATATATATTTATTCTAGAACATCAACCACTTTGGTACTACAGGTGATTGGTGATTCTGTTAAGCGTGCTTTTTTTGCAAGCGTTGTTTTGGCTTGCTAGTTCTCAGCAGGGAATGAGAATTGGAATGACCCCAAAAGAGCCCATCCCCAATGGTTTCCTTCAAGGGAATCTGAATCCCCTTCCGTTTCGTTCCCAAAACCCGGAAGGTCATTCCCTACTGAGCACCAGCAAGTTGTGTTTTTTGGATCGGAAGCCCGTTTTGGGAGTCAACCTCTTTGGTACAGGTGGTTGCAGTTGTTTTTCTCTTTACCTCTTTCTTGGGTGGTTTTCACGGAAAAGCAAAGGGACACCTGAGGGACCCTGGTGGTTGGCTTCCTGAAATGGTTGGCTTCTATCCCGACAGGCTCCTTTGAGAAACACCCCATAGGCCGCCAGAAATCGAAAGGGGCTGGAAAGGAGGTGTTCCTTTCGGCATGGCTTTTCAAGCCACCCAAGACAAACTACCTCCAAAAAGCACTCTAAATGGAAGTGGTTGGATGGTAAATCAGCCACTAAATGTTTGGGGTGGTTTTCCTTGTGGCTTTCGTTTTTTTTGTAGCACCACCCCAAAAGGGGCCTTGCCTCCCAAGAAGAACAGAGATCCATATCTGCATTTGTTTGGCAAACCCATTTGTTTCATGGGGTCAGGTGATCTACATGACGGACCCGGTGGACGAGTACTGCGTGCAGCAGCTCAAGGAGTTCGACGGGAAGAAGCTGAAGAGCACCACCAAGGAGGGCCTCGACATCGACGACGAGGACGAGAAGAAGAAGCTGGAGGCCGGGGAGCTTTGCGAGCTGCTCTGCTTTGAGGGTGACCCCGGTTGTGCCCGAATGTTAAGACACAGCCACTTGCTGAACACGGCGCGCACGGTTGTTTTTACTCGAGACCTAAAGGAAACAGGGGATACATTATTTGTGGCAAGGCACGAGGGAAACCACAAGGGGGAAAGCGCACGAATTCCCAATGTTTCCCGGGGGAACTTGGAAATAGCTGCGGATATCCGCCTTCTTAATTGTTGAGGCATGGTTCTGGGGTTACGACCATTTTAATACCGGGTTTTGATGATGACTCACTTCCTTTTGCTGAAATGAATATGTTTCTGTTTTCTCCCCCCTTGTTTTTCTCCGAGTCACTGATGGTTTCACCTATTTTCCCCTTGTTGGTGTTAAAGGGAAGAGATGATGTCCAAGTCGCGGTAAGCGTTGGACTCCGTGAGGAGCTGAAGGCGGAGTTCGAGCCGCTGACGAAGCTGATGAAGGAGGTGCTGGGTGACAAGGTGGAGAAGGCGCGGTGGAAGACATTTTTCCATCTTTTTTTCTCAAAGCGCCTACTCTTTGTTGCATTTTGCCAAGGGATGTTAGGACTCTTTTTTTTTGCCAACTAATGGGTTTTCCATAGCAAGGATGCGAATCCTCTAAATCAGCTAAGGTGACTTTTTCGGCGGCCCAATGTATCCTAGAAACCCTTCCGGGAAACTATATCTTTCAAGGGACCATATCAATATGCTTTAAGGGCCCTTACCCTTTCTTGCTTACTTGGAGTGGTTTCACTCCCTGAGACCAAGTCTTCCAAAGGGGTCCTGGGAGCTTCCATGTTAGCCGGGGGCGGGTTCCCTTTGCAACCATCTACCAAGACAAGGGCGCCACTCCTCTTCTTCCTGTAGAACTTTGGTCAGTGGGTCACTGCCACAGTTACCAGCCGCATGATGGCAACATACTGTGGATAGGCGAAATCCTGCACATGGGAAGCCGGTGTTTGTAGGTATTTACAGGGGAACCATCATTCCGGGGCTTTTGAGGTGGTGCAAACCCCGGATCAATAAACCCAGCCAACAGCGCGGTGCCGTCCCAGTCGCGGAGGTCATGGTGAGCTCGCGCATGGCGGACTCGCCTTGCGTGCTGACCACCTCCGAGTACGGCTGGTCCGCCAACATGGAGCGCATCTTGGCGAGCAATCCGAAGGATCCCTTTGGCGTGAGAGGTGGGACTGCCGGGTGGCAGTCGTTTGTTTAAAGAGCCCATGGGGGGTGGAGAACCAAAAGAAAGATTTGATATTCCCGCATAGGGAAAGTTAGCCATGAACATTTGGGGACCAGGAATATTGATCAACCCCCGTATCCTGGTTCCCCTTAAAGGGATTGATGCCACGTCTTTGGTGCGATAGCTGAAGGCGCCGTTTTGGAGAGGCCGATTGGTTTGGAGCAGCCGACAAGTTGGAGGGCAAGACTGGTTGAGACAAATCATGTTGCGGGTTCCCCTTGAAGGGAACCCGCCAGAGTTTTGAACCACTAATGGTTTAGGGAAAACAAACGGTTGGCCCCCCGGCTGTGTTGGAACCACTTCGACGAATGGACACGAATCGCCAGGATCTTTGTGAACGGGTCCCCCCCAAACGAACATTCATACGCCGGTCTCACAATTTGGGAAGAGCATTTAAGTGGTGCGTTTGAGTTTGCATGCACTGGTCGGATGAGTCATGGTCCAAGCAAACGATTGCTTACCCACATACAGAGTGTTGTCCATGGCTCATATGAGCAGCAGACAAGACCACTGATAGTCTATTGCTTCGTGTTGGATAGGTTGGGGAGAGATCCTCGGTCTCCTAGTTTCCGGTTTGGGAGTCAGGGAGTTGCAGCATTTTTGTCCATGGTGGTTCACCCCCTCCCCCTCAACGACTCCATATCCCAGTTGCCCAGTGGTTTCCGCCCTTTTTCCCCTTTTTGGGGGGGAGCGTTTTTGTTCTTCTGTGCCTCGGGCCTCGGGTTTGGGCTCGGTTGGCTTCTCGGAGCTCATAGCGAGGCATCATGAAGGCCCAAGCGCTGCGCGACAACTCCATGACCTCCTACATGGTCTCCAAGAAAACCATGGAGGCGACCTGGCGATCGATGGCTTCCAGGTGCGTTTCAGACCTGTGTGTATTTCCCCCTGGATTCAAAGGACATCTATCACTGCCAGGACATTCTTTTCCAGGGGACTTCAGCAAATCGAGGATGGCTTGAATTCCTTATGCGCCTCCCAGCCTTTTTTGTCCAAAGCAAACTCCCTCTCCGCGAGTCCCAGCCATCAATCCGGAAGCTAATCTCCCAGTCCATTACTCTCAGGTCTCTTGGTTTGTTTGGTTGGGGGCTCTGCTTTGCAACCAAGGGTTGTTGAGCTCCCTTTTAAACCCGGCAGCTCTACACTGAAGCCGACCGGTGAGGTGAACCCAAAGCACTCCATCATGTCTGAGCTGAAGCTGCCTGGCTGGACATTTCTGGAAAGCTGTGGGCGGGTGTGGGGTTGGGGTTGGGGTGCGGTGGGGTTGGGGTGGGTGGGGTGTGGGGTGGGATGGGGCGGGGTGGGGTGGGGGTGGGATGGGGCTACTCATTGGTTTAAGCAGGACCATTGTAAAGCCTATGTAAACCTTTATAAAGCAAAACTCGATGGGATAGTAGAGCCCAAAGCCTATATAATTCAAGGTAAAGCCTCTACAAACCTTACCCATGTTAAAACCACCAGCACTGGGTGAAATAGGGGCTGCTGTGGGTGGGGTGGGGTGGGGTGGGGTGTGGGTTGGGGTGGGGTGGGGTGGGGGTGGGATGGGGCTACTCATTGGTTTAGGCAGGACCATTGTAAAGCCTATGTAAACCTTTATAAAGCAAAACTCGATGGGATAGTAGAGCCCAAAGCCTATATAATTCAAGGTAAAGCCTCTACAAACCTTACCCATGTTAAAACCACCAGCACTGGGTGAAATAGGGGCTGCTGTGGGTGGGGTGGGGTGGGGTGTGGGTTGGGGTGGGCCGCTTTTTCAGGTCGCCTGTGTTCCCCCCTCCGGCCCCCCCCCCCAACATATACGGGTTTGTGTCTTTTAAGGGAACCCCCATAGAATGTTGATTTTCCTTCTGGTTTCCCTTGAAGACCACCAAAACGGGGTACCAACTCCAAGGAGGCACACCCACATGTTTGTTTTCCAGGCCCTAGCATTCATTTTTTTGGCGACGAATTGAGGAAGAAGGCGGCGGCTGACAAGAGCGATAAGACGGTGAAGGACCCAAGTGCCCCCCCACACACCACACTTTTGGGTCCATTCTTTCGGACCCCAACACAGATTGCCACTCACCCAAACCCCCCTGGCACCCCCAAAATTGGCTCCATTCTGACAACCCCCCCCCTCTCCGCCACACCCCAAAGCTGGCTCCCGGGGCACCCCCAAAATGGTCCATTTCAAGGACCTGGCACCCCATTTTGTCCAATCGACAGGACCTGATTTGGCTGCTCTTCGACACCTCGCTGCTCACCTCTGGCTTCAACCTGGACGAGCCCACCCAGCCCTTCGGCGGGCTGCGGGCGGGCGATTCGGGGGCGATTCGGGCGGTTTCCGGCGCGAAACGGAGAAATGGAGAAACGGGGAAACCGAGCCGAGAGGCATAGGTTTCTCTTTGTGTACCCGGGTGCCCCCCCTCCCCCTCCCCGTTTTTTGGGGGCTCTTTGAAAGGAGTGATTTTTCGGTTGAGACCAACGCCTATATTATAGACCTAAGACCTTCATAACAAGTTTTGGCAGAACCAACAGTCATTGGGTTCGGGTGCCCAAGATTCGCCGGCCGCATCCACCGCATGATCAAGCTGGGCCTGAGCATCGACGACGACGACGAGGGCCTGGGCGACGACGACGATCTGCCGCCGCTGGAGGAGGTGGAGGGCGCGGCGGACGAGGCTTCCAAGATGGAGGAGGTCGACTAGGCAGTCCAGTTGCCAGAGGGCAACTCGAGCACCGGAAGGCTGACCTGCCAAGAGCTCTTGGCCCTCGGTGTTCCGAGGTCCCAGGGCCACGACAGCGAAGAAGCATGGGTGAGCTTTTGGAAAAATGGATGGGCTTCCCTGGTAAGTATGGCATCAAACCAATCTTGAAGTTTTGGTGCTGCTAGATTTCGTTCTTATCAGAAAAGGGTCAAGAATAGTCTTTGTTTCGGCCAGTCATTTGAGCAGGTCAGCGAGTGGTGTTCTCTGAATTCAAGCGCAGGGATCTAGACTACGGTCTATCACGCGCGCATGCTACATACCTTCGAACTTGCGACAGCAACGGCAAGAAATGAGGGTGCAGGGCAGGGGCACTGGTCAGGATGAGCACTCTCGCTCTCTCTCTCTCTCTCTCTCTCTCTCTCTCTCTCTCTCTCTCTCTCTCTCTCTCTCTGTGGTTGCAAAGGAATCTGCGTTGACTGCCGTTTCCATGCAAATATCGAACACCGATGTTTTTGTCCTGCATCTCCAGTTAGAGGTGCTTTGGGTCTTTGTGGAGCTGACGTTTTGGTCGGTTTGAAGTTGGGCCCCAAAAGGAACCCAACGACTTGGGGGGTCCAACTCCTGCCGCGGTCCAAATCCTCACCGTGTCAGTCCAGTGAGTTGGGATGTTGAAATGCTGAGGCAAAACCGCCAAAACGCATACATTTGTCGCTGACTTGGGGGGGTGAAACACAGGTCAAACAGTAGGTACCCAAAATGGAATGGTGAATGGAAACAAGAACCAAAAAACCTGGGGTCCACATCCTGGTTCAAGCTTGACCCTCCCCCTTGGACCCCTTGGTGCTGTGTTTCTTGCGCTGTTTAGAGAAAGTAGAGACAGCGCGCGGTACAGACAACGTCGCCAGGATGGCAGCGCCGGCCGCGGTCCTAGATGCGACCTTTAAGGTTGGGATACGTACCACCTGGGCGTTTCCTTTTTGTGTTTCTTCTTTTTTTTTGTTTCTTCTTCTTCTTCTTCTTTCTTCTTCTTTTTTCTGAATCCCAACATGTTGGGCATGTTGTTCTGGAGATCAAACGCTGTTTTTTGGAGGGTGTGACTTCTACAAGTTGGGGATGTTTTTCTGGACATCAAAACCAACCTCTTTTAGCAACCATCTTGCATGTACAGGTTGATTGGACCAGGATCGAACGATGACATTTGTGGTTGGGGAAGAAGCTGGGTACTTCAGAAAAACTAAGACAAACAAGTTGTCGATCATATCTAGAACCAACAGTAAGGCAGGTTTAGCGATACATTGCAGTTTTATAGCTAACCTAAAGGGTATTGCTGGACATTGGTGCAATGCTTGGGTGAGACATATGGGCGTGTCTTACCCACAAAATGATGGTGTTCCTTTTGCGTTAAAACTGCGCACAAAAAGCATCAAACAAGACACCCTGTTGAGGAACTGCAAGGGGCTTCCAACAAAGCTTGTGATGGATCGCTTGTAGCCGCATGTGGTTTGGCATCTCTGAATCCACCCTTTTTCAAACTCCCAACTTGAAGCGCGCCTTGAGGTTTATCGGCCACCCAGCTTTCACCAGCCCCCACCGCTGGAAGCCCTGGACTGAACGAGTGGCGTCGGTCGCCGCTCGGTTTAGCCCTGCGACAGAACCAACTCAAGCAATGGGTGGCTTCCTGTGCTGTGGTTGCTGTTTCAGCATCCCAAAGACCCGAGTTTATAATCGAGCTTCATTCTTCGTTTAGGGCGGGTTTAGGGTTGGTCTAGGGTTGGTTTAGGGCTGGTTTAAGCTTTTGTTATTCTTGGTTTAGGGTTGGTTTATCGAGGGAAATATCGAGAGAATGGGGGTCAAAAGAACTTGCCGGTGTTTTTGTTGTGCGGGTAGACATCTTGGAAATCTGGGTGTGTGTTTTCTTGGCGTTGGCATCCCTTTTCAGGTTGGTTTAAAGGGAGACCAACGCGAAGAACCCGATTTTTTGGGGAGCCCGAGAGGATTTTTGGGGGAGCCCGCCGCTTTGACGCCGGTTTGGACACAGACTGTGCCCATCTGAAGCAGTTTCTTCAGGCTTGCTCGAGTACGTTTGACATCAGCCGTTTTTGCCATGGTCATACTGTGGATGGACGAAATCCTGCACCACCTAAGAAACCCTGGAATGATTCGATTCCCCTGTAAATACCCGCAAACCATGGTTTCCCATGGTTTCAATTGGTGCAGGAATTTGTCCATCCACAGTATTTGGGGGTTGACACTATTCCTGCCCCCTGATGACCATGAGCAACCTGTCCCATTCAGTGTTTGAATATCGAATCGCTTTGTGGTTTTTTGCATCCAATGGTCATCCCACGAATTTACGGACCATTTTGATCAGCCATTCCCCCCCCAATTTGTGAGGTATTGTCCACACATTTGCCTTCGTGTAGTGAAGGTTGAGGCCTCCAAAGATCATGGGTGGGGGGAGGGAGGGGAGGGGGGGGGAGCTATTAAGCCCTTAATAAGGCCTTATTTAAGGCTCCCTCCCCCTCCCCTCCCTCCCCCCCAGCCCCAATGAAAAGAGGAGCCTATCCGGAGTTGGCCAAGAGGGTTCCGAAGCTTTCGAGTTGATTTCAGTCTGCTTTGCTTCCATTTGCTTAAGAATCTGTTGTATTTTCCCCTGTTGGTTTTTTAAGGAATCGATCACTCCTGGACATATTTTTATGTTTTCCAGGGGGCTCAAGCAAATGGAAGTGTAGCATTAGAAATGATTCGAGGCCCCTTAATATTTTAAATGCCAACAAACGTTGCGGGTTCCTTCCCTTGGTTTCTTGGATGCTGCGAGAAGCGGAGTTCGCCACAATCCACGGTAGGACGGGCTTGCTTTCCAACAAACGTGGAGACGTCGGGCCCGTGCAAGAGGATCCCCCTCAAATTCCATGAGCGGAAGGAGGGTAGATTGGTTTGGGGAAATGAAAGTCCGCTTCTTGTTGGTAAATGGGAAACCACCCACCCACCATTTGGAGAAAGACAAAGAGCAGACAAATGGGAAACCACCCAGCCCCTGAACCTTTTTGCTTGTAAATGAGAACCCCCCCCTTCCACCCATCCAAACCACCAAAGGTAGTGGGAAGCTGAGTGGTTTTCCCACCACTTGGAGGGAAGCTTTTTCAGCCAAAGCCAAGGGCCAAAATGTGCCGACAGGTACTGCTTCTTGTTGTTAAATGGGAAACCACCCAACCACCAGTTGGAGAAAGACCAAGAGCAGACAAATGGGACATCGCCCAACCACCTTATTTTTGAGCCACACCCAAATGGCAAAAATTCCCAGTTTCTGCTTCTTGGGAAGCTGCGCCAAAGCTTCTGAGGGCCCCAGAAGTCTGACAGGTACTCCTCGGCCGGGAACAGCCAGGCGCCGCAGCTGGGCGCGCGGCGGCCCAGCCTCGTCGGGGCTTCGGGGCTTCGGGCGCCGGGGACGGGCGAAACGAAGAAGGGCCGCCGGGCGGTTTTCGCGGGTTTGTGTGTGTGTGTGTGTTTTGGTTTTTCCCTATAGGCCCTGGCTGAAGTTTGAAGATGGATCTTACGTTTTCCCGCCAAACATCGGAACCGGGCGAAGCTTTTTGTCATTTTGCTGGCATTGGTTGCAGTTTGCCGGTTTTCCCCCAGCCGAAAGCCATGGGGTCTTTGCCCGAAGCTGCGGAGTGCTCCGGAGCAGCTAGGAGGGTTGCATTCTGGAGTGGTTTGGGGCGCTCCCGGTCTAAGGTTCCGGAAGGGTGAGGTTGTTCAGTGGATGGCCGACATTTTGCAAGTAGGGAACAAGGGAAACCCAAGGTAAATTCAACCATGGTTTGTGGGAGCAGTCTTGATGCTTAAGGGAGACGTCTTGATGTTTGGGTAATGGGAACCCCAGATTCATAAATCCCTATTTGTGTATGGGTCAAAATTCAGCCACCAGGGGTTTAGTCCTGGGTTCCACTTGTCATAGTTCCATGTTGGGCCACAGCCATTTATTACTAGGGGTTTTCTGATTGTTTCAGTGGGGACTCAGACCATTGAAGAGGACCCTCTCCAGAGGTTAATCAATGGGCCAACCCTCGCAGGATGGTCGAAAAGCGTCAAGACCCAGGAGACTGGACCATTGGGCGAAGCATCAATCCGCGTTCGTGAGACACGCCCGGTCCCATGGTTTAAGCAAAAAATGTGCCATTCATCCCTAGCCCTGTATGCAACAGGGCTCCACATGCATGCTGCGGACAAAGAATGCAATTCCCGTGGCTCCCAGATGTTTCCAGGTTTTCCGCCCAGATAACTTTTTCCACATGGATTTGGGTAGGCTATTGATAGCATTCGCCCTTTTCGAGGGCGGGTCGCCTTTCCTTTAGAAGGAAGGCCAAAAGGAATTCTGCCATTGCTGGGGTCCATGTACACTCTCTTCCGCTAACATGGCACCTCGCAGGGGGTCCATCCAAGAGGAAAATGATCTTCCAGGTTCCTCCCCACAGGTGCCATGTTGGTGGGAGTAAGGCTAACATATTTTAAACCACGCGGCCGGGGATGTCAAAATCGCCGCGGAGAAATCGCGCCGTTGAGCGATTTACCAGGCGCCTGGTGCGCCCGGTGGCACTAGGGGCAGGACGGATCGGTCTGTTGAATTGCTTCTCCCGCAGCGGGAGGGGGCACTCGGAGAAAACCCCCACAGGGAGGTAGATGTGAGTGCGTGTGCGCGTGTGGTTTTAGCGAGGGGGGATGGGGGGAGGATGTGTTTTGAAGTTGCTTTTTGCGATGGAAAGGGGGAAGGCACCCCGATTTGGCATGCTCGCACTCGACCATAAAACCACTCTCCCACGTTGGAACCCATCAGAAGGTCCCAAGAGAACATGGTCCAGCCCAGATCCACAGTGCGATGGGATTATGTGGCTGTGGGTCAAAACCAATGGCACCATTTTGGGGAAGCTGCACCACCCATTCTAGTCTATTTTAGTGGGAATTGGGATGTTCACTGGGGGTACGGGATTTTGGCCCATGGCCATGTTTCCCTCTCTTTTTTGGACTGTTTCACGGCTGTCCCGTTGTTCGGTTTGCGAGTTGAAGACGACCACACCTTGCAGGCAGGCAGGAGAGGCATCGCCATGTTCGCCGTATCATTTGGCCAAGGCAGGGTTTTAAGCATTTCCGCACGTGCGCCAAGACTTCAAGCAGCAAGTTTCCTGGTGGTTTGCCATGAAAACCATCCAAGAGGGCGCTTCCGCATTTTGAGACACATGTTGAACGAACCACTTGGGGCTTGTCTATTTGACAACACGCTTTGCAGAAAAACAAGGGCTTCCCATGGGAACAATCATCCACCAACTCTCCTGCAGTTTCGTGACTTGGGAAGACCATAGAACTGACAACTCCGACTTGTCAACGACGGAAGTGAGTTTCAAATCGACCTGAATCCAGGACAGTCAAGAAACCAGCGCCCAACGTATCCAGGCCATTTTTGTAGATACCACCTGGCTTGATTCAGATCGCGAGGCTTAAACATAGCCATCCTGATCATCTTAGAACCTTGCGGCCATGCAAAGCCTTGTGACCAACTCATTACTGTGGATGGACGAAATCCCGCACCACGTTGAAACCATGGAACACCATTGTTTGTAGGAGTTTACACGGGAATCATCAATCCAGGGTTTCTCAGGTGCAAAATGGATTTCGCAACCATCCCCAAAATGACCCTTCATCTCGAATTTTCGAACGTCTCTCCGCCCATTTGGCGCTCACCGCATCCCTCGGGTCGCCGCTCGCCGCCCGTCCGCCCGTCGCTCACCGAGCGTCAGGAGCGCCTCGCCCCACCCTAGCGGCCTCAGCTCCCCGCCCTCGCCCACCTTGCCGATGATGGCGAGAACAGGCCCACGGAGTCGTCGATGCCCAGTCGAATCTGCGGGGTGCTGCTTGGGGGTTTCCGTTTTCCCCGCTTCAGACTGATTTTGCTTGCTTGTTTTTTTTAGGTTGGTTGTTTCTTTGGTGGGGTGGGTGGGTGGGTGGGTGGGCTTGCTGGCTGGTTGGTTAACTTGGGGTCGTGTAAAAGTGGAAAAAGGATCGGATCCTGCCTCATGTTCATGGGGGCTGGGGAGCCCAGATAAGCCCTTGCTTCCCTTTTTGGCCCCATGATATGTTTGATATGTTTATGTGTTTCATGCTCCATCCGATGCCTTGATGAAACCCAGCGCCGAAACCAGTCGGGTGTCACCAGCAAGAGCTGGCCCATGTTGGCGGGGTGACTGCGCGCATGAAGCCGAACCGATACGGTCCTCCCCAAAGCCTTTGGCGTTGTTTCAACCTTCAAACACCACGTCTGCATGCTCGTGAGAGGCCCTCAGGCACAACGCCCTTCGGACGCTGGAACGCCCAGCTTCGGATCCGCCGTTTGCGTAAAGCTGCCCGCTCCGACCTTCTGCTTGATGAATAGGGTCCCCCTTTTTTCCTTTGAGTGGGGGGACTCAGACATCACTTTTAGAGTGGAACCCTACTGTGGATGGACGAACTCCGTTTCGCACCATCCGAGAAACCCTGGAATGATTCGATTCCCCCTGTAAATACTAACCAACAATTTCCACCATGGTTTCATTTCGTGGTGTGAGAAGTGGACTTAGCTTTTTCATCCACAGTAGCAATAGAGTCGGTTTATAAAACGCCTCCCATTGTTTCAAGGTGGTGCGAAATGGATTTCGCTTTTCCATCCACAGTAGGAATGGAGTCGGTTTATAAAAGTCCGGATCAATCTCAGGGGCCAATCTCTGAGGTGGACTTCCGACCCCCTGGGGTGTCATGGGCCTGGGCCCAAGTTTTCTTTTTCCCGGAGAGCGCCCCATGTGGATTCGATGGTAGGGGACTTGGGGTCGATTTGGGTTTGCTTGGGGCCTCGATTTTCTTTGCAGACGGTTCTGGAAGACAAGAAATATGTACTTTTGAGTGGCGAAGAGTTTTATTCGCCACTCCCGAGGGCACTGCCAGCTACTCGGACATCCAGGCAGCCGCCGGCGGCTCAGACAGGTTGGTCGGGTCTGCGTCCCTTCAATACAACCTTGTTGGTAGGATTGTTATTTACATTGCTCCATTTGGGTGGTTTAACCTCACCTCTTGGATAAGCCAACATCTATGTCAACGAGGGTCCCCCGAATTTCCCAGCTTGCCTGCGCTTACACCTTGATTGAGTCTCCTTTTGGCAGAGATGTGATGCAGGTAGGACATATGGTGCTCGCACCGCAGACGCTGCCTTGTGGGCGGTGCTTGGATTGCCAGCCATTGCTATTTCGGTGCCTCGCGAAGATTGCGTGTCCTGAAATAAGCTGAGAGGTACCTGCTACGGACAAATTGTTCCGAAAGAACGTAATGAAGAGAGAGCAAAAACTAAGAGCAAACCTGCACAGACATCGACTGGTGCACCAAACAGACTAGCTTTGAAAGTCAATATTGGAGCCAACATAGATCGATAATCAATTGTACATGGGTTTTGAATGGGTGTACTCCTCAGTAGGGTCAACACTACCACACTTTTTGGGCACCTAAACCCTGAAAGTAAAATACCCCAACAGGCGTACACCAAACTTCACCCCCAGAAACTGTCGCTTTCGCCTCAAAAAGGGTTCGTATTTTTTCATGGTCATATCTCATCAAATTTCCCGGGGTGGCTTCCGTTTGGGTCCGGTAGTGGACACCATGTTTGATTTCGGGTCCCGGTCCATCTGATCGAGGGCGACAACGGCCTTTCGGAGCCAGAGCTGCGGGCCATCTACAGCAAGCTGGACAAGAACAAGAACGGCGCCCTGGGGCAAAGGTTGTTGGAAGTTGTTGCTTTGTTTTGGGCTTGGAGGCCCAAGATTTTGAGTTTTTCAAACGCGTTGTTTTTCTCCTTTTTTAATTAAGGTTTTGAAGGGAATCGAGTTCACTGCTGGACACAGGTTGTAATTTTTAAGGGGACTTAAGCAAATGGAGGTTTACAGATGAGGCCCCCAACACCATGGCTTATTGATGAGTTAATTTCCTATGTTGCCCCCCCGCCCCCGTTTGGGTTAAAAAGTGAAATTTGCCGGGGGATATGTTTTTCTTCTTCCCGCGTTTGAACTAGGGCCACCCATTTTTTGCTGCTTGAAGCCGGTGGTTGGCTCCGGAAAAAAAAAAAACAGTTGCCTGTATTTCTTCCGCTTGCTGAATTTGAATAGTTTCCGTTTTCCCCCGGTGGTTTTAAAGAGAATCTATCTAAAGGGAAATCTATCACTAAAATGGAAGTACGGTTTTTGTTGTAGGCGTCTTGAGCAAATGGGAGGAAAGCCGGAGCTACCGATCGGAGTGCAAGGACATGGTAGTTAATCCCCCTGGAATTGTCCAAACGTAAAGCCAACCCTTGTTTGTGTGTGTTTCTTTTTTTAAAACAAAAACCAAGCCTGCCTATGTGCACCAAATAAAACTGACCCTGGCGCCTGATTTGCTGGGCCCCACCCAAGGCTTACCTTATGCAGTTTTACTAATGTTCCGCCGAATCGAAGGGGGAAAGCACGCCACCAGGGATGCAGGTTGTTTTGACTGACTTGGAAAAAAAGAGTCCACAACACGTTCTAGTCATACCGCGAGTGTTTTGTGTGTGTGTGTGTGTGTGGGTGCGCGTGCGCGTGCGCGTTCGCGTGCGCGTTTGCGTGTGCGTGCGTGCGTGCGTGCGTGCGTGCGTGCGTGCGCGGGCGGGCGGGCGGGCGGCGGGCGGGCGGGCGGGCGGGCGGGCGGGCGGGCGTGGGCGTGGGTGGGTGGGTGGGTGGGTGGGTGGGTGGGTGTGTGTGTGTGTGTGTGTGTGTGTGTGTGTGTGTGTGTGTGTGTCTGTGTGTGTGTGCGCGTGTGTCTGTTTTTGTGTGCGCGTGTGTTTGAATCTTAAAGAAGGCATTACCCTGTTTTTTGACCAAAGAAATGGATCAGCGAAGGCGCTTCGCTTCGTTTTAGTGCGAGCTGGAGGTTGGTGTCGGGGGCGGGGTCCGGGTTCTTGACAGAACGTCATTCCATTCTTAGTGCTGCTTTCATCTCTACGGCTTGGTGATGGTTTTGCTTCGGTATGACCGTTGAGCTTCATCGCTTTTGGGGGGAGAAACATATTGTTCGGTTCAGTGGTGAATAGGTCCACTTGGGCGATTTCGACCCCAGAATCAGAACAGGTGGCGCGGCGAATCCAAGGGGACAAAGCCCCCTTCCGGGGCTCTGCAGTTTGTGTTGGGGGGTTTGGGAGCAAACGCGCGCGCGAGGTACCGTGTCCAAGCTGGAGCTGATCGCGGCGCGGATGGGGATTCGGCGGAGCGGAACTGGAGCTTCTGGCCCTGGAACTCTTGGTTTCGGTTTGGGCTGGAGGGCTGTGGGTCAAAAATAGGTACCCAAAATGGAACCCTGGTAAGTGGGTACATGGACTAAAACCTGCGGTTTTTCTTGGTGGTGTAATTTTGACCCATACCCAGAGCTCCAAGAGGGCGTTACCAAGTGGCCAAAAAAAGTATGAAAGGAGTTGTGGGGTGAAATCAAAGTGAGGCATGACCAGGAGAAGCATGCCTGCAATTGTTTGGCCCCATGTGTTGTTTGGAAGCCTTTTTTTTGGGACGGTGTTTGAATGAAAGGGAAACTGCAAAGGAAGGCTTCCGGCCGTTTTGGGGGGTTGAATCGTGTTCTTCTCGGCCAATCTGGACTCGAATGACAGACACCAGCGAGGCCTTGCGGCACAGAATCTAAACCTCATGTTTTTGGTTGGGCGCAACAGCTGCAGTCAGACTTGCTGGCGAGTTTTGTCGGCTTTCCAATACGGGGTTGTCTTTTGTTGATGTACCCCCGAAATCCATGACCTCCCTTTGGTTTCCCTTTGAACCAACCCCGGAACGGCTACCCTCAACCAAACACGCTGACCACAGGAAGACCATTGCCAATTGGGATCGTTTTCCTCCCTTTCTGGGGTTGCCAAGGTACATCTGACGATCGGGTCGAATGGGAGCACCCCGAAAAGATAATCAAACCGGGAAGAGGCTACTCAATTGTTGGCCAAGAAGGGTTTCTTTGGCGTTCCATGTGCTTTCTTGATCTTTTTTGCCAAACAAGCGTCCCCTCCAACGGAACAATCGAGCAGTTGGCCAAGGCTTTGTTTTGGGTTCAACCCAACCCAACCCAACCCAACCCAACCCAAACCAACCCAACCCAACCCAACGCAACCCAACCCAACCCAACCCAACACCCCCCCCATCGACAACACCTTTGATCAAAAGGTTGCGCTCGGCAGGCTGTGAGCCAAGAGAAGAGCATCGCGGACATGTTGGGCGCCGGGGGCCCCATGGCTTGCGCTGCTTGGAGTAGCGCTCGATCCGGGTTCCGTTTGGGGGACCGGGCAAAGGCTCTGCGCTGAGTTTTCAGGGGACGATGACAGGTGTCCTTTTAGGCTGGTGGATAGATGGATGGGTAAAAATCAGCTTGGTTCTGAGCATGGGGCCCACAGTTTTTTTTTCAATCGGACGTCACAAGAAGGGGTCCCTTTAGAAGAATGCTTGTTTGCTTTGTGGGTTCCCTTCAAAAACAACACTACGCACCCTAGCAGGTAAGGCTAGATGGTCGTGATTTTCTTTGCTTCCCTTAGGCAACCAAAAGGCACCTCCCCAACTTGGGCTGGGAGGGGGTCCACCCCAAAAAGCCGACAGTTGGTCCATTTGGGGGGAGGGGGAGAGTCTTTCCAAGGCTTAGCCGCGGTTGAACCCCACTACCCGCCATCCTTTCTTTCTTTTTTCAACCGCCTGTGAACTGTCTCACGAACTGAGAAGAAGGGGTCCTTTTGCCCCCATCACTGGAGGTCCAGTGGAGAGGTTAGAATAAGGGTACCCTTTTTCTGTAGTCTATTTTACTAGGGCAACCCTCCCCCAAAAAAGGGTAAAGGGGCACTACTGGGACGTAGCAAATATGATTGGATTTTCCGCCAGTTAGCGCAGTTTTCAGAGGGCTTTTGGAGATGCGACCTCCCCGCCTCATGGAAGCCGAACGGCTAAGATCGACGGGGAGTCCCTGCTGAGCGATGAGAAATGCTTTGATGAGCTCCACACGCTCTTCGAGGAAGCGAAGAAAACTAGCGCGATTTTGTGCTCCCCGGGTATGGATTCCATTGCTTTTGCGAATCTGCCTTTAAGGTAGTACTAAACAAGCAGCGGGAAGCCCATCGACACGTTCTGGAACAAATTGAACGGACCACCGTTTCTCGCCCCTTAAAAGGTTCGTAAGGTTACCTTGGATCGACAACATCGCCCATCGCCCCCACCTAGGATGGATGAAGTTCGTCCATGCACAGTACGGGTGACTTCCCAGGTTGAAAAGGGCGGTTTGAGGTTCCCACCGATTTCTCTTTCACAAACCTCCGGGTGATTTCTGAACGGTTCCTGGCTCCTGGTACCCCACCCTCCTCCTTCCAGTCATGGAAGTGGAGGGAGATCCCGAAAGCCCTCCGACATCTCCACTTTGATTGGTGGAAAGGAAAGCCCGTCCAATTTTGCTTGGGGCCTGTTTCCATCCAAAGGGGATGGTGTCCCACGTGTCACTCAGAGACTTCATTAAAAAACTGGGGCTGACATCCCACGTGTCACTCAGGGGCTCCATGAAAAAACAAAGGGAGTTGACATATCTCTCCGGGCTTCGCATTAAACCCGCCGCAAAGCCGCCAAGCCTCGATCGGACGAATCTTTCGGGAGGAGATCTCCGCGGGGAAGAAAGGCATCGACTTCGACTCCTTTGCGAAGCACGTGCGGAAGGCGCAGGGCTTGGCTTGGCTTGGGGTGGGGTGGGGTGGGGTGGGGGTTGGGTTGTTGGTTTGGGGTGCGCCTTTTGGGGGCGGTTTGGGACCGGGTTGGGGGGCGGGTTGGTTTAGCGGGGGTGGTTGGGGTGGTTGGGGTGGTTGGGGTGGTTGGGGTGGTTGGGGTGGATGGGGTGGATGGGGTGGTTGGGTGGGTTGCTTGGGTTTGTTGGAAAGGCGGAAAAGGCGGACAAGGCTTGGGGAAGTCCTGAGAATTGGTTTACTTTTGATTAGGGCAGACCACCTGCGCGGCCTTTTGTCCGCTCACCCATGTTTCGGCTTTTTCGGCAAACACCTAGGGCCTCAACTCCAAGCAGAATTCTTAGAAGCGTAGAAACACTAGGTCCCCCAGCAGTGCCCTTTCTCACCCTTTTTTGCGGGAGGGTTCCCCTACTAAGACAAGAAAAAGGTTGGTGCCCTCCTCCAACTAACATGGCGCCTGGAGGGTACCTGGAAGATCAAACTCTTGGAGGATTCCCCTTTCAGGTGCCATGTTGGGAGAGAGGGTACCCTTCGAACCTCTCTGGAGGACCTGGAAAGGGCTCCTTGGGCCCTTGCTCAGTTCAGGCCTGCGCGGACAAGACGCCGCGGTCGCCGGGCGCACAGAAGCTGCCAAGGAGCCCCCCCCCCCTCAGAATGGTTAGAGGCTCGGCGGTTCCTATTTTTAGGAAAAAACACCATGTGGCTGTGGCTCAAATTTAAGCAGGAGGGGCAACCCGCAGGGTTTGGTGCATGTTTCCACTTGCCAGGGCAAGCCATTTTGGGTACCGGTTTCTTGGGCCACAGCCATGTGAGCCGCATAGAATGCTGCCACAAATCCAGACATCCCTGAGTTATCCCCTGACAGGGCTAGATTGGGCCAGTCGAAAGGGCCAGTGTATGTAGCCTTGTCTCAACGGGTGCATCCGGCTAGCCTGGCTTCTTTCTGCTTGTGGCAACGGGCACTCGCAGAATACCACCTTCAACAAGAGCAGGGTTGTGGGATCAAGGGGTTTCTCCCCACTTCTGTGATACAAGGAAATCCCCCTTTATATTAACCAAATAGTCTTTGGGAAGCCGTTTCTGTTGTATCACAGAAGTGTATTCCATTTCCCACAGCCCTGAACAAGAGAGAAGCGGAGAGGTGGCTCCGAAACGCACAAGTCGAAGGGCTCCGATGCGGAGAGGTTTTGTGGGTACAAAGGACCCAAAGGCGTTGGAACATGTGGCACGAAGCTGCGGATCTGGAGCCTGCAAGTCCCGCAAGTCCGAGATGCGTCTCCGGCGTCGGGATCGGCTTCAAAGTGAGAGTGGGATGTGCCATGGGAATGACGACATGACTCAGTCTCATATTGGCATCACTTGAGAACAACCCTTTTTGGGATCCTTTACTTCCACTTGTCGAAGTTTTTTTTTTTTTTTTAACATCCCCTGTTGGTTCCATGGGGCGAAGACACAAATGGACGTTTAGCTCGAGGAAGGCCACCGCTTGGAACTCCTGAGCCCTTCTTCGGCCGAGGAATCGCATGCAGGAGATCTTCAACCTCATCGCCTGAGCCTGAGACCAAAACAGGTGCGGTTTGTGAGTCAAATGGGTACCCTCCCAAAAAGCAACCCCGAGCTTCGTAGAGGTATTTTAGGGTAGCCTCCAAAAAACAGATCCATGTGGCTGTGGTGGTCAAGAACCGTCTTGGGATCTCATTTTGGTTGGTCCCGGCGAACTCACCCATTGGAGTCGGGATTTTAGTGGTTGGATTGGGATGTTCACTGGTGGCTAACCGGGATTTTGACCCATGCAGATTGCTTCCTTAGGCCTTTAGTGGTTGTTTTTGGCTGGTTCAGTGGTTGGGTGTCCGAATTTTGACCCAGAAGCTTTTCGCAGGGGATCCGATGAAACGGACGGGTCAGGTTGCGTTTTGCGAAAAATATCGACGGGGGTGAATGCGAGCCCACGATAGACATCCCCCAAGAGAACAGCAATGTAAAGCCATGCCTAGATTTGGAAGCCAAGAATGGCGAAACCATTTGGTTGTCATAGCTTCCCCTCGGCCCTCCCGCTTCGCGTATCGCCTCGTCGCTCGCCTCCTTCGGAGCAAACATCGTCCGCAGGATGCGGACGCCAGCGGGTCCATCTCGAAGTTGGAGTTGGTGGCGGCCATGCAGAGCCTCTCGGCGCGTTTTTTTTTCTTCCCCCAACAGCTGAAAGCTTTGGGGTCTCGGCCCAGATAGGCTCCGGGGTGGTCCAGGGTGGCCTGAGGTAAGGTTCCACGAGGGTTCCACCAGGGCTCCACCAGGGTTCCACCAGGGTTCCACCAGGGTTCCACAAGGGTTCCACCAGGGTTCCACCAGGGTTCCAACAGGGTTCCACAAGGTTCTGCGAGGGCTGCGGGGTGGTGCCAGCACTAAACAGAGCACCGCATGCTGTTGGGGATATCGCCTGAGTCTTTTAAATAAAAATCAATAAATAATAAATAATAATAATAGTAATAATAATAATAATAATATTATTGATTTATTTGTTTCATGCATTTTACTTACTTATTTATTTATTTATTTATTTATTTATTTATTTATTTATTCTATTTCGTTATTTATTCATTTTTTTATTTTATGTATTTATCTTATTTATTTATTTATTTATGTATTTATTTATTTATTATTTATTTATTTTATTTGCTTATTTATTTACATGTGTATACAGATTTATTTTTGAGAGGCCCGTGCCCCCGGTGGTCAATTACACGCAAGATCGCATTTTTTAGATCGCAGCTTTTTACATGGAACAGGTCTAGATGGATTGTTGCAACATGCAATCGCTGCAGCTCGTTCAAGCCAGAGTACTGGAGCTGCAATTCTCTTAGCGTCTTCCTTTTTCCGGCTCGCCATTAGTAGAACCTGGTGTGGAAAGACAAGCTGGTCGCTTTGTCTTCTTGTCTGCGCCCTAAACGGAGTGAAGGCTTAAACATTGCATAATATGTCAAACAGATGTCAATTCAATTCTTCTTTTGAATTAGATTGCAATTGTGCGTTCTTTCCAAGTAGGATTTCAGCGAGAATTTAATTTGACTTGATTGTATTAAAGACAAGCTGGCTGTTTCTTAAACCCAAATGAATTGCATGTTTCCTTCCAAGTGTTTTTCAAGTTTCAATTGCAAGGCTTTTAATTTGTGTACGGTTGCTTCAGTTTGAACAATAAACGTCAAATAGGAGCTCCTTTCCAAGGATGTTTTCAGGTAGAGCTGAAGTAGGATTCTTATGTTGAATAATACTTTCTGGTTTTGTTTGAGGCTCGGCCATCGGGTTTCTCTTTGAGTAGGAGAAATGAGCGCATACTCAGGTGGGTTGTTTTTTTTGGGGGGGATTTGAAGGAAAGGGTGTTTGTTTTTGCCTAGCCCTGGCACGTGGGTGGGTGGGTGGGTGGGTGGGTGGGTGGGTGGGTGGGTGGGTGGGTGGGTGGGTGGGTGGGTGGGTGGTGGGGGTCGGTGGGACGAGGTTTGGCATGGGTTCAGGGTGGGTTTAGGGTAGGTTTGGGGTAGTCCGTTTAGGGTTGGTTCAGGCCCTGCATCGTCTTAACATACTCAGCATCGTTTTCAACATCCTCAGCATCACCAGGTTTTGGTTTAGGCTGGGTTTAGGGTGGGTTCCAGGTTGGCTCTTGATGGGTTCCAAACCTATTGAGGGCAAATTTGGGGGTGGCTGTGCTTGCAGCAGATGGTTTAGTGCTGGTTTATGGTGGGGCTTCTTGGGGTTGGTCTCGGGTAGGTTTAGGGCTGGTTTCGGGTGGGTTTAAAATTGGCTGCAGCCATGGCTTTGCTTAAGCCCACTTGGGTAGGATTTGAAGGTTTTGACAACCCAGAGGGAAACGTGGGACCGGTTTCTTGGGACAACAAAAGGGTGAGGAAGCCTCGGCATGGGCGGAGAATGTCTTGGGTGGATTGGGGTTGGGGGTTTGGGTTTGGGGGTTTCAGCTTGGTCAGCTGAAACAAGGGTGGGGGTTTGGTCGCCCAGATAGGTTCCGGTGTGAGTGGCTGGGTTCCGGAAGGGCCAAGGAGGTTGTTGGGGATATGACCTGGAGAGATGTTTCTCTCCAGTTTCAGAGGGCACCCCTTTTTCGTTTTTGTTGGAGTAGTGGTGTCTTCCCTCTCCGATTTCCAGGAATTGGACCAACTCTGGGTTTAAGTTTAGCTTGTGGTGAGCACTGGGAACCGCTTCCTGGTGGAACTGGGTTGGGGGCCGCCGGGGCGGGTGGACCACTTTGTAGGTGATTTGCGGTGGATTTTCTTCTAGAGATACGTTTTTTGCGAATCTGATCACGGATCCCCCTGTTTCGCCCCCACCTGTTGGAAGGCAAATTTGAAGTGAGTTTCGCGGTCGCCCTTTTTGTCACGACAAAACTGGGGGGTTGGGTACACGACGGTTTTCTCGGGGTTGTCCAGAGCTTAAATCCACCAAGCAAGAATGTGGTTTTGCTTGGTGTCTCCTCCAAAACCAATTATGACATATTCAGATTTGGGAGACCCAAGATTCGATGAAGATTGGTGTTTTTCGTGGACATGTTGGGGAGTGGTCTAGGATTTACGTCGTCCAAATGCTCCGAATCCGAGATAATACCGCGGTGGATGAGTTCCTCATGCCGGGGGTGGACAGTAGCAGGGCCGCGGGCCTGGAGCGGAAGGGGGGGGGGAGTTTGGGTTTTGGTGGACACTTAGGGTCTACTTCGCAACCTTCTTGTAGGGTTTTAGTTTTTTTTTGGCTGTCTTCAAACTGGTCTCTAATGTCTCTAGGTCCCCCAGTAGTGCTCTTTTACCCTTTTTTGGGGAGGGTTGCCCTACTAAAATAGACTACCAAAAAAAAGGTACCCTTATTTTCTACTGGAGGACCTAGGTCTAATGGCGCAACCTTCTTGTAGGGTCTTGGGTTTTGGGGCTGTCTTCAAACTGGTCTCCAATTGCCCACCCCACGGCAGGGGATCGGTGGGAAGAGAAGACGGGCACGATGGCCCCAAAGCGCTTGGGGACCCTGCGCTTTTGTTCTTTGCCCGTCACTTTTCCGTTGGGATTGCCGGCCCAGAGCTGTTCCAGATGCTTTGTGACCGTTGGATCATGTTGGATCTCTTCGGGTGAGGAGGTGGTGAGGCACATACGAAATCCCTCAGATCTGGGGCTTAGCTGCCCTTCAAACCAACCTAACACCCAGATCATGGACGACGAGAACCTCTTCGAGAAGATCGACGGGCTGTTTGAGGCGCTGGATCCGTTTTGTCCCATCTCCAAAACGGTTGGCTTGTCCCAACATGATGCATGCGGACGGACAAAATCCGCGATCGGTGCCAGTTGGTAGGTGGTTCGGAGTATTTGCAGGGTTTACTTTGCGCCAACTGGTGCAGGATTTGTCCATCCACTGTAGCTTCCCCAGAGCCTTTTTTGGAGTCGGCCGCTCAGTTCAGAATTCATAGCAGCTTCATGCAGCGAACTTCCATGCTGCGGTCTCCTCGAATATGAGCCAAATGTTACTGCTCATTGGGGGAACTGCGCTGACAACACTCATGTTCTAATGTTATTTTGGCAAAGTGTGGCCAATGTCACCCCTCTTGCTGCAGAAGACACTAAATATTGGCCCTTGCTCTTTTATTTTTTTTTATTTTTGAAGATATAGTTGCTTTTGTTGGGGGGTGGCAGTGTATGTTTAAGGACTTCCCTGCAGGTGAATAGAGGAAGGACAAGAGTTTGTTCTCACCCCTGCCTTCCAAGCTCCCCTTCTACACTCTGTTTAGGAAAGTCGTAACTGTGGTAAACGCACAGTTTAGACCTTTTGGCCAATCGCAGGAAGTGAGTACGGTCCAAAGGTTCTCCTGCAACTTTACGGATGCTCCACATTTTGGAGCCAGACATTCCGGGCGCGCTGTTCGCAGCCATGGGGCGCAAATGCTTGTAGGATGCGGCAGTCTCAAGCGAACTGCTCTGCGACAATGTCAGGCGACGCTTCAAACTGGGATTTATTTGTTGGAACAAGTTGGTATATGTTGGAATATGTTAGAATATTTTAAAAAATGTTGGATCCCATCCCCCTTGTTTGGCAAAACTTTGGTACACCCAAACAGCTCCGAGATGAAGCCACGGACCACAAGCGGATCCATCTCGACTATGTAAACACGCAGTCAAGAAGCACCAGCGAGCATCTGGCATCAGACAGCTTTCGGCCGACTCGGTTCGGCCCTACCCTTCAGCCACAACGACCTTTTTAGGGTCTTGGGGTCTTGGCCCGTGCCTTGCACAACCGGTCTTTGCCTCCTTTTCCCAGTTGGACCATGGGATGTTCCAAAATGACATCTCGACATTTCAGCCCGCCCTTTTTGGGACCAAGCGTGCCCTTTGTGCATCTGGGTTTCGTTCGGCGAATGCTGTAGAAAGCCATGGGTCTGGGAGCGGAGAGCGGCTTGCTGGGGCCCTCGCGGGGACGCCCAGGCCTTGGACTTGCTTTGGCGGAACCTAGGGATTCCCTAACTCTGTTGGTCAGTGGATTCCGCCATTTTTTCCAACTTTTTTGGGGCCGCCCCCCTTACACTCAACCAACCCCAAGAAGGGAGGCCCTTTTTTCCCATTGAAATCCACTAGGCATCTGAGCCCAGAAAGGGATGGTTCAGTTGCTGTGGACAATGGCTGGCGATCCTTGGCTGACCTATACCAGGGAAATCCACGCCTGCTTAGCGGACCGACAACCATGGGAAGTGAGTTCTCGTAGTCATGGCTGATGGCCAGATACTGAGTTCAGCCAAAAGCCCCATGTCTGGTTTGGACCATGTGTCGCCTACAAGGCACCTCAAAGAACTCTTGCACGGGCAAGCAGCTGGGTTTGTCTTGGCGAGTGGAAACCAAGACATCAGCCCATTCAGGGGGCCTTTGCTCATGGGTTCGACCAAAGGGGGTCCAACTTGCCACCAGAAGACGATGAGGTGTGTAGTGAATTGATCGAACGCATGTGTATCAAACCAGGGGTACCCCCAAAAGCATGTCTTTGCTTTTGGCCTTCCTTGGACCCTTCAACCCACGGTTAAAACGGGTAGCCTCAAAAGACCTTTTGCACCCAAGGCATTGCGTTTCAAAAGGTGGTCTTGGGGGGGGGTGTCTTTTGCGCCAACTCGTGCCCGTTTGGTGGGCAGTACAGCCACCCTTTGGTCATACTGGCTTCCCTTACCCCAACAATCCCTCAATTTCCCTTCCCTCCAGGAGTGGAGTCTGATCGTTTCAACGGGACCCACCGGAAAATTGATCAACTTTTGGAGGGGACACCCGGTCACTTAGTGAGTACTCCTTTTGGGAGAGGATCATGTGTGGACATCAGCCAACGCCTTTTGGGTTTCAGGACCCTCAGTCAATGAGGTCCCATTCTTGGTGGACAAGTCCTTTCTTCCAGCAAACCCCCTGAGAAACAACTTGGGGTTATCAATCGCTCGAGATTCGCGGATTACCTCCATTTGGTTATGATATTTTTCTATTTTTTCGGTAGTTGGTTTTTTAACGGGGACCTATCACTGGACATCTTTTTCATTTTTTTCCCCGGGGGCGAAGACGCAAATGGAGGATGATATTTTCTTGGCCCTGGGGAACCTTTAGGAGCTGGCAGCTGCCCACCTGGAACAAGAAGGTGGTGTACCTTGCCGCGGCCCCAGCCCGGCCCGTCCAGGCCCTAGCCACATCTAGCCACGTTTGGCGCATTCCCCCAGAGTTGTGGGAGGTGGGATCAAGCACCAAGAAGATGTTGTTGATCAAGCTTTTTTTAAGAGTACCTCTTAGTTGGTGGTTTCTTGGTGGCTCCCAGGCATCCGGTTCCTCGGCTTTTTGGCCTTTTAGTGTTTAGTGGTTGGATTTGCATTTAGCCCAGCAAGAGTTATTTCTTTAGCCGGGGATCTGACAACGGACAGCCCAGGTTTGGATTGGTGGTTTGGGAATCGGTTTGAATCGGTTTGCGCCCCTTGGTGCTTGCTGGTTTTATGACATCTCCCGCCAAAGAAAAGTGTGGGATCTGGCGCGGCGCGCCGTCTCGAGGTCAGACACGCGGAGTCCATGGAAAACGCGCCTTGCTCGGTGTGGGAGGGACCAGGCAGCTGCGCTCCTAGGTTTTAGGAGCCCTGGACTCGCGCAAGGGGAGACCGAACATATGTTAGAGTATCGAAGCAGGATCAGAAAAATACAAGGGTTGGACCAAGAGATCTCGCACATAGGTGTCCTTTTTGGTGGTTTTGCGAACGAAAAATAGAGGGGGATGCCTGGTTATTTGGTGGTGTTTTCTCATCTACTAGGAAACTTATTTATTTCCCCTAAAAGGACACCTATGTTTGCAAATAGTCACGGAGCCAAAAGCGGAGCCCAGAACGGGATGGTCCAAAAGGAGTTGCTCTAAGAACGATGGTTGTGCGGTTTCCATGTTAATTTACCGCTAAAGAGAGTTGTCGGCTGGCGTTTGCGCGTGAGATCGGGATGAGCTATTCTGCCGCACGTCCACGAGCAAATGGGCACGAGGGAGTTCCGAAACTGTTTCCCTCCACAACCTGCCTTCCCTCCAACAGGCAGATGGAACAAACAACGCCTTCATTCCCCTGTGTCCGGGGTTTGGCCTGTGCACACCGAAAGTTGATCGGGGGTTGGTTGCAGCATTGGCATGAATCCATGAACCTTTGCGCGAGAGAAATCACATGAGTCAATGTTGAAGCAATTGTGGTCCATTGCCATTTTGGGCAGGTCGCCACTTTTTTGGCCGCAGGGGCTTGCACCGCGTTTTTGAGCTCGCGAAACAAAACTCATTAGCCTTTGTTTGGGGCGCAGGACCCCTCGTAAACCCCAAAACAAACAAACGAGCCCAACCAATCGGCGAGACTCGGGCCGGTCGGGAAGGGGCCTCCGCTGGATACGAGTGGGCATTGGTTGGGAGTTTTGTGTCCAGCGATTGGGCGTGAATTTTAAGCAGATGGAGCCTTTAGACAAAGTTCGGTGATTCATGTTTACTGGCCGCTTTGGAGCTTCCCTCAAATTCATGCATGTAGCCATTTGTTTAAGTGTCCAAAGCCATGGGCAACGACTCATTTCTTTGTTAAGTTGAGTGGCGGGTGCTCATTTTCGCATGGCAAAAATTCCGCCACTCTGGATGTCCATGCCATATTGCAAGTAAGGAACAAAAGGCTTGTGCTTAGTTCTGGCATGGGCATCCACCGTATCTGGTGATTGTGACAGGGATTGGATCCCAGGGTAAGAAGAAGACCTCAAATCAGAGAGCCATGGCTCGCAGAAGTCTTTTTCCGCCCCAAGTGGGGCTGGGGGAACTTAGATAGGCTTGCCCTGAAAAACGTAAATGCCAAGCTCAAAACAGGCAAGGGCCCATGCAACCCCATTCATGCCCCCAGCCGCGTTGTTTCATTGGGTTGAGCCTTGATTTTGCATGACTCCTTTGGGGACATCCTTCTGGAAGGAGCCGGCGCGTTTCAGTACTTGTTGGAAAGTAGTTGCTCGAGTTCACTCCGCTAAGTTGGCCCTTATGTTCGTGGATGCTCCCGGCATCTCGGCAACTTCGGATGGGCCTTTGTCAGTTGACCTCCTTGTATGCGTGCCCTCCACGCTGTCCTGAAACGGCACGGAGTTTTTTTTGGCGAGTTGGCGGTGAAAAGAGCTTCTGCCTGGGCGCAAATTTCAATGGGCGCATAATCGCAAACAGTCCATCGTCCTTTTGGCAGTTTCATGGACGGCATGTGTGAATTTTCAAACCCGCCCCAAATGAACATGCTTTCTTTCGGTTCCTCATTCACTTGCTGGTGTGGTAGGAAGGGAATCACCTTCCGGGTTTTGGGAATGACCTTCCGGGTTTCGGGAATGAACTTGGGGATTTCCTCAAAGGACACCATAGCTTCACTGTTCTTGGCATGTGTTCTTTTTTTTGGTTCTGTTCATTTTTACTGGGGGTCTGCAAAAAGCAAAGTTGTTTGCTAAAATACCAAGAGTAGAGATGATAGGTGATGGTCGTTCTTGGTCGTTCCCTTTCTCATTCCCTGCCCGTCGAACCAGCAAGCTTACGGAGCTTGCCCTTGAAACAAACACGCCGATGCGGCATCAGGCCGCATGTTTTGTTTCTGTTCTCCCCGGGCCCACGAGGTGCGTGTCCACGCCTTCGACCGGGTCTGCTGCACCTCGGATGATCTCGGATGCGTTGGTTGGACTTGTCCAACGCCAGAAGGTTTGAGGGGAAACACTCTTGTCCGCCCGAGCTGTTGGTTGGACGGGAGCCGTTGGTTGGACGGGAGCCGTTGGTTGGCCGTGAACCGGAGCTGGGGTTATCCAGGCAGGGAGCTACAAGGAACCAGATCTGACAGGACATGGTACACCCTCGAGATGTTTCGATCAATGGGTGAAGATCTGTTCGATCCTGTGCCAAACAAATGAACGAACTCAGCCGGAGGGCTGCTTGAGGAACATGTTCTTGGACTTTTCAGGTCCGGCACCAAACAGCACATACACGAAACAAACGCAACAAGCAAAGCAAGCGTCCGCACCAGCACAGAAGGAACAAGAACACACAAGGCTGCAAAGCAAAGATCGACCGGCAAATAAGTCCAACAAAGGTCAAACAGCAACAAGAGCAACCAACTGCGACCGTCAGATACATCCGAGGTGCCTTTCTTTTGTGTCTGAGGGGTTGCCCTTCAAAGTCGACCAGTTTCCCCATGGCCACTGGGGGTCTGGGCCAGGGTGCAGCCCGACGTGTCGCGTACAAGTCCCCGTGGTCAAAACGATGTGCATTGCCGGCGACAAGTCGCTCTATGTGGTGAATCCAGCGGTGCCTGGAAGGATCATGTGTTTCGTGTTGAAGGGACCACCTGGCAGGTGCGGTCCGGGCTTTTTGGGAGGAGAAGTCACGAAACACAGACAAACAGAAGTGGCAAACAAAGCAACAAGCAAGCAAGTTGCATGCACGCTCGCAAGCAAGCAAGCAAGCAAACCAACCAGCCGGCCAACAAGGCAAAGAACAAACAACATAAACCACTTAATGACTTGTTTTCCAATATCAAAGGAACAGCAAACAGAATGACAACACTCACCAACAATTCAAACAGAGACTGTGGATGGACGAAATCCTGCACCACTTTTAAAAGCCTTCTCAACCATTGTTTGTTGGTATTTACAGGGAAATCGAATCACTCCAGGGCTTCTTACATGGTGCGACATGGATTTCGTCCATCCACAGGGTTACCTCAAAAACCAATCCGCCATCTTTTCTGTTAAGACGCCTCAAAACCAGACAGATCGCCTCAAAAGAAAAATCTATCCGCCCACGTCCCTCGCCGGCCCGAGCTGCAGGCGCGCTGCGCGCCTGGCAGCGCCCGGCGCGGGGCGACGTGCTCAGCGCTCTGCGGCTGCTGTGCTTCGACCTCAACGCGCTGCTTGGACCAAGGGGGAGATGAGAGGTATCCTTCCGCGGGTCTTGGACCGGGCTTTGTTTTTTTGTTTTTTTCTCTGAGGTTTGTTTTTTCGGCTTTGTTTTTGTGTCTGTCTTTTTCCTTTTGTTTTTGTTTCTTTTTCCCCCGGTTTTTGTTTTGGTTGTTATTGTGTTCTGTTTACATTTTGAGTCGGGGCCTGCAAAAGGAGATGAGATCCATTCGGGCGTGGCGTTTTTTTTTTTTAACCAATTAGAATAATAAAATATTCAAGAGCTGGGGCAAGCCATTGCAGGTGTCGGTCTGATCCATGTACTAGGGCTTCAGCCAACGGGTCCAGTGAAAGAGGATCGGGGGAGGGATCACTCAAGGGGTTTGTCCAAGCACTGTGAGACTTTCGGGGGGGGTTGGTGTTTGGGAAGCCCTTCTGCGTTTTTTTTTTTTTGTAATTATCATTGAAGTGGATTCCAGCCCTGAACAGGATCCCTCCTTTCCTGTTTTGGACCGAGCGTGGCAGTTTCAGTGGAAAGAGGAGACCATTGCAACAGGGTTTCCTCCAACACCCTCTTTTAGGATCCTGAAAAGTGGCAACGGACACCAGCCGGGAAATGCTGCTTCTTCTTCTCGTGCGGTTGAATTACCGGGGTTTGCTTTTTGACCCTCTCGTTTTGGAACAATGATTGGGAACTCTCCAACGATTGTGCAATGGGAGATGAGATCCATGTGTTAAGACTTCCTGGTCCTTCGGTTCGACTCCATTTGTCACCAAAGAGTGATCCTGTAACCCGTTTTTCAGCGGATGTCGCCCTTTCCCCTATTTGTTTGGAGGGTCTCTTCCCACAAATGGTGAACTTCCGATTCTGTTTCCGCAGGGTCATTGGGCAATTGGGTCTTGCTGACATGTGCGCCACTGCTGCCAGTTTTATTGGTAGGGGAGGACCTGGGTCGATGACACCCCTTTTGCACAAGGTTGTTAATTGTCCTCAAAGGAACCGAAAGGGGACGGGTTCCTTCTTCACATTCCCCACCCGTAGTTATATAGAAAACACACATTCTGTTTGGACAAACCCAAAGCTTCCCAAATGGCGACAGCCACATATTGGTGTTCCCCTTCCACACCGTCCCCGAACAAGCTCACGTTTCGTTTCGGCGCATCTTGGATTCTGTCCCTACGGCTCCCAAAAAGGCCCACGGTCGCCCAAATGTAGCTGGCCCCTCGTTCTGGCGGGCAATGTGGACCATCTCCAACTTCAAGTACCCCTCCCTCAGCTGGCGGGTAAGCTCCCGGGAGCTGGGAAGACAGCGTTTTTAAAGGTGCCAACTATCTCATACTTTTGTGATTTTCCCCAAAAGGAAGCCATAAGGGGATGGGCCTTCTCTTTTCCAAACCTTAGATTCTGACCTCCCCCCCCTTCCTCCCGCTTGATTTGGCTTCCATGAAACACGCCTAGTGGGGAAGTGGACCCCTCCCGTCCCCCTGTTTAGGCTTCCAGGCTGCACGCTTATTGGGGAGGTGGAAAACGCCGAAGTCGTTCTCAGCACTCGATCGAAGTTGATTCGATATTTTCAGGCCCTTGAGCTCGCGAGGGGAGCGGCCGCTCGGTTGCCTCAGGGGTTTGATTGAAACGAGCTGCGTGGTTGGGTCGCACTCCCTGAGTTCATGGACTAAAACGTCACCGTTTTCTCAGTTGTCCAAAGCCAACCTTTTAACCTTTTGGTTTCCCCCTTTTGGTCCATTTTTAGTAAAGGTCCCAAAAGGTCAACCTTTTATTTCCGGGTCGTTTGGGCAACTGAGTTTTGGGGTTTGCCATTTTAGTGGCTGAGACAAGAAGTTAACGGTTACTTTTGCTGGCAAAAATCAACTCAGGAAGTGAGTGGTTGACTCATGGGCTATGGGTATTGATTCAATGCTTTTCTCAAGGGTTTTCTCACGTGTCGAATCATGGGTCAACATGAGTGATTTTAGTCAACATGTTTCACGGTTTGCCGATTGGCCAAGCCATTTTGGCATTACCCTAGCTTTGATCCACAGCCAAAGGAGCCCAACAAGAGTGCCCCCAGACGGGGTCTCCGAGCCATGTTTGCTTTTGGAACCACAGAATATCCACCAACAAATTGCTCAACTCTTGATTCTGGGAACTCCGATGACTTGGCCACCAGGGGAGGACCCCAAGATGGCCCTGAACTGGATCATGCGCAGATCATCCGCCCCCCCCTTGCACTTCAGGGTCAAAGCTAGGCATCGGCCGAAAAAGCCACGCCATTTTTCGGTCGTTGCATGTGCCAAGCTGCTCTTGGGCCGAAAGAAAGCCGGCGGTCATACTTGTTTGCGCCGCGGTCGGGACGTGTCATTCCCGTTGGTGGGGGAATCTTCTCGTCCGCCGGTCGATGGACTTTTCGCCGGTAGTTAGGTTCGCTTTTGCGAGCCATTGGAATCTGGTCTGAGGCAGCTGAGCGACGTCAAGGCTTGAGGGCGTTGTCTTGCCTTGGGGCCGTGTGCATGTTCTTTTTTTGTAGGGGAAGCTTCCAACCATATTGGAAAAACAAAAACGATTTGACACCCCTAGATGTGTCCAAAAGTTCAGCCCGAAACTAGGGCCGGCCTCCCCCTTTTTTCTTTTTTTTTTTTCGGCCTCCCCCAGATGCGGCGGAGCGGGTCATTCGCCTCGAAGGGTGCGATGATTCGGCCCGTGGCCTTTGGCCCTTGTGGCCGTTTTGAAGAAGGTGCAACCGGCGGAAACGATGTGGCTGTGAGTCAACACCAATGGGATCCCATTTTGGGATAGGTGCAGCACCCATTTCAGAACCTATTTTAGTGGGGATTGGGATGTTCACTGGAGGTACGGGGTTTTGACCCATGGCCATGTGCAGGGGCATATTATTTGGGGTTGGCTCAAAAAAGGGGGACCCTGACAAGTGGCGGGAGTTGTTTCCTTTTGGTTTTCCTTTAAAACCACCCCAAGAGGGGTACCATCAACAAAAAGACAGACCCAAATCTGTAGAAAAGCCCAGCTCGATCAGGAAAGAGGGGAATCTCGCATGTGGGGTACCCAAAACTATTCTGTTCACCTTAAGATGGTGGTGTTGTTCCTTTTGGTTTCCCTTGACCCCCCCCTCCCCTCCCGGCAAACAACAAAAACCGGTACCATCAAAAAAGACACACCCATGCTGTGGATGGACGAAATCCTGCACCACCTAAGAAGCCCTAGAATGATGATTCCCCTTGTGAATGCCAACCAACAATGGCTTCCTATGGTTTCAAAGTGTTGCGAAATGGATTTTGTCCATCCACAGTATCGACCTCATATCAACCTTTGGTTTCCCCTGAACCCCCTCCCCAAACAAAAAAAAACGGCACCCTCGAAAAAGACACGCCCATAGCAACCTGGGAGATGCCAACCGAATTGGGACGCTCGGTGTCGTTTTTCTCTTTTTCTCCCTGCTCCAGGCGCAGCTGCAAGGGGCCGGCTTCATGGACCAGGCGCGGGGCGGGGCGGGAGGGGGGGTCCGTTCATTGCATCGGCCGGATTTCACTACTTCCATTTGCTGAAGTGAATATGTTTTTCTCATTGTCCCCTGTTGGCTTTAAAGGGAATCGATCACTACCGGAGATATTTTTTTTTTTTTCCCAGGGGGCGAACACGCAAATGGAAGAAACCCGTCTGGGCGAATTGTCACACGGCCTCACACGACCGAATTCACCCCAAATGGTGGTTTATGTGGGGAATAGCCCCCAAACCACCGCAAGTTTCAGGCTGGTGAAAATATTACAATTCACCCAGAACCTGTCAAGGGGCCCCTGGGTGAATCGACCGGATCTGACTACTTTTCGTTTTCACTGTAAAGGCATGCCCATTTTAGAGAGAGTCAGGTCCGGACTCTTGAGGATTCCTGGATTGCCAAGTTGCTGTGCTTTTGCAGACACTTTGCCCTAAGAGAAGTCACGGCAAAAGGCGGCCACCTTTTCTTGGGTTCTTTGAAGCAAAGTGCTCGGTTTGTTTCGAGACTTAGAAACCGGAGAGTGGGTTGCCTTTACTTCAACTTCCAGTGTCGGAAAGGTGGTTTCCTCGGTCCGTGAAATTGCCTTGTGGTGGCCCCTCCCTGAACTTGTTTGAGGCCAGGGCGTCCTTTGAACAGTCAGCTTGGCTCAACATCGGTCAATACATCAATCCAGCGTCAATTTGGGAGGTGGGGAACGGGCTTCTCAGTTTTCCAGTCATTGCCAGTTTCCAGCCACCTTTTGCATCGCACCTTCGCTCGAGGCGCTGCCGGAGCTTTTGGTCTTCAGCCCCTTGGTGCGCGCGGAGCGCACCGGGGAGGTGCTCTTCGGGTCCGAGGCGCCTTCCGCTTGGGTCGGTGGGTCGGTTGGGGCGGGGGGGTTTTGGGACCGGGGCGGCCGTGGTCCGTCTTTTGTTTTGGGGCTGGCGCGTCTGTTTGGGGAAGAAAGGCGAAGGGTGACGCGTGTTTTTGGGGTTTCGGGGGGGTCTTTTTGCGGGGAAACCTGAAAAGGACGGACCGGAAGCTCGCGAGCCGCGAGTTGACGCCAAAGGAGCGCAGACGGCAACCACCACACCGCCTTGAGAGCAAAACAAAGAGCACCCCAACTCGCACCCTGCACCCACAAACCTTTGGTGCATTTTGCTTGGATGTTAAATGTTAGTTTTTCCATTAAACCACTAAAGGTTAAACTTTTAGCAGGGGAGCAGAAAGCAACCCAAAAACTCTGCCTGCGTCGACCCCAGCTGCATTGCCGAACAAGCATCACCAGCAGCTGCCACCGAACCTTGAGCACATCAAAAGCACCAGAACAGCACCCTGACCAGCACCCTGGCTGCAATGCCAAACCGCCCACTAACCAGCACCCACAACAGCCACAACAGCACCTTGAGACCCTTCCGTGTAATGTGAGCCGTGGATCTGAGTAGAACCCTCATTGATTTTTGAGAGATTTAGAATCTTTTGGTGGGGCCCCGGCAATCACTTCCGGAGAGGGAACTTCCCCCTGTATTAATAGGATGGGTTCAGTAGTCCGGGGTTACCTATTTTTCCACCCAGGCTGCCAGGCTCGGTCATTGCAGGGACCAGGAGCCCTGGCAAAAACTGGGACCAACAGGTTTTTTGGTGGGCTTAAAGGGCAAACCAAAGGGAAAGTCAAAGTTGATTTTGGGCCATTCGGCCTTTGTGCCCCTTTGTTTTGGGAGGGCATTCTTCCTTGTTTCCTTTTTTTGGTCGCTTCCATTGTTCCTGAGGGGTTCCCGGGGATGCGTTGCGGTTCTTTCCTGTTTCAACAGGTCTTTCATATGTTTGGTGCTGAACATAAGGTGGATTCCCCTGTTTCAGTTCTTTTTATTCGTTGAAATAGCTATCTCCTTGTGCGGAAATGTAGCTAGCTTAGCTAGGGTCATCGGCGGTGCCTGAAGTTTTTTTGTTTTGGGCGGCTTGGAACATTCTTAACAGGCCACCGGAAGGACATGGAACAACGGCTCAGGCAACCTTTTGGGTTTCATGCTCGTGCCCCGTGACTCGTGGATGTGGCTCAAAAACAGGCCCGAAGTGGAACCCTGGAAACTGGGCAAGACGAAAAACTGCAGGTTGTCCGCCTCAAAAAAAAACATAGAACAATTGACCAGGCTTGATGATCCAAAAAGGAGGGAGAACCTCGAAGGCCTAGTTGGGTTTTCGAAGGTTCGAAGGACACTTCAACCAGAGGGTGGCTCGTCTTTTTGTTTCGAGGGAAGCCGACATGGATCATACCCTCCCAACAAACATGGAAGTGGACAGAGGGGAGTAGTCTTCCAACCCCCCCCTGTCAGCTTCCATGTTAGTCTGGAGTGTAAGCCAAGGAAGCGCCATACAAGCCGCCGGCTGATGAACTTCATAGAATGCATGTCTCGACTTGCTCTCGTTCAAGGACTAGCCCTTCTCCCGTGCTGAACCTTAGCATCCCTGAATCCTGTCCGTGCTCGGACCCATGGCGAAACGGAATGATCAAACCGAACTTTTTTTTTCTTGGTGGGGGGTGGGGGGTGGGGGTCACTTCGGCGAAACGAAACACCGTTTTCGAGGTGCCAATCCGCCAGGCAGGGGGCGATGTGGGATGGCTGGCTCAGAGCATGCAAAGATGCACGGCCCCAGGGGTTTGTTTGGCTGTGGGTCAAAGATAGGTGCCCAAAATGGACCCCTCGTGAATGGAGCCAAAGACTAAAACCTGCCGTCCCCTGGAGGTTTAGTTTTGACCCATACCCGTTTATGTTTCCGGCGGAATGGATGTACTATTTGGGCGTGTCTTGAAATAGGGGACTTCCTTTTCATTTCCCTCCAAACCAAGGCACACTCAAAAAACACACACATAAAACACACATACACATACCCATACACATACACAGAGACACACAGCTATGTTGAGGTGTTCCTCCAATTACCTTGGGTGGTGATTTTGGAACCGGCCATGTTTTTCCTGGGCCGCGAAAAACACCACATGACAGCTACCAACTCCAAACACGACTCGCATCCGACTTCTTCAAGCACAGCGCCAGCTTCGCCGCTTTGCGAGGTTCGTCGGGCAGTCCGGATCCCTATAAAGTGATCATGGTGTACGAAGCAAACCACTTTGTCATAAGTGGCCGGTTTTTTTTTGGGTCTTGAAGCTCACGTGTGGGGTGTATCTTTAAATACTGTGCCGCTGCCGCTCGTGCGGATTTGCGAAAGATGTTGAGAGACTTAGCTTCGAACGCTATCCCACAGGTTTTCAGCAGTCTAAGAAGCCTAGAGAGATGTTCACACATTCTACCAAAAAGAGGTGCAAAGATCGCCATGGTCAGACTAGTTCTGCGTTTCCCCTTCATTGGGCAAATTGGCGAGTCGTGTTTGTCGCCTTTTTCTTGCTCGTGCTCAGCAGGAACAAACCCAGCGATTCCCTGAAGGGACACCACAAGGGATGGTTTATAGGGGTCGTTCCCTCATTCCCTACTGAGCACCAGCGGAGACCCGGCGATTCGGAACCTTCCTTCGCCTCCTCGCGGGTTTTTTTCGAGAACTCGACAGGCGATGCCGGGCATCGTGGAGCGCACCCCGCGGGAGGCGTGCTGCTGCCCACAAAACTTCGAGGAACGGGTGCAGCACTTCAAGGAGCCGAGCGGCTCGCGGCTCGCGGTGTGATGCTTCTCCTCTTCAACTGTTGCTGGGTCCCCCAGCAATTGGTGCCAACTTTTACCGTTTCTGTTTTGGTTGGGAGAGTCGGTTCCCCGTATTCTAAAATAGACTACAGAACAAAAGTTGGTGACCTTGTTGTAACCTCTCTACTGGAGGACCTAGCTGTTGTTGGCATGTTTTTTTTGTTTTTGTTTTTTTGTTGTGCATTTTTAGTAGGAGGCTGCAGAAAACAGGTCTTCTTTGGTACCAGACCAAGGTTTGGACAGTTTCGTTGCCAGTCCGGTTTGTCCTCTCAGTTGCTCAGGGCCAACCCCAAAAGAGCTTTTGGTGTTCCCTTTTTGGCAGTATGTTTTTTGTGGAGGTGCAAAGGTTAACCTTGTTTTTTTGGGTCAAGTGGGCAGCTGAGTCGTTTTGGAGGGTACCCATTTTCGGGGCTTGTCAAGGGAAACAAATAGTGACATTGTTCGGAGAGTCCGTTAGGGCTCCACGCTTGGTGCCCTAGTTGCTCAGTCCCGCATGTCCTCCCCATGTTCAAGGACAGAAACCAACAATCTGGGTGAATAATAACGACCTTACACGACCGAACTCACCCGAAATGGTGGTTTATGTGGGGAATGGCTCCCCAACCACCAAACATTTCAGGCTGGTGAAATATGATAATTCACCCAGAACAATGGCAGGGAGGTTCCAAACACTTGTGGGGGACCGAATCCACCTCTCTTTTTCAGGGCTCCTTAAAAGATACATTTTGCAACCATTTGAAACATGTTGCTTTTTCAACACCAAAATAAAGGGAACCGCCATTTACAAGTTGCAATGTTCAAGTGTATAATGCATCCGGATCCCGGTTTTTCCTTTTGGGCGCGTCAGTTTGGAGAGGGTTCAAATGTGCTTGGCCTCCTCTTGGTTTGAAAAGGGATGTGCACTCCAAAAAGACACACTTGTCCTAAACACGCGGGTCAGAAGATGAACTGTTGGATGATCATACTACGTGGATTGGAATTTCTTGCTTCAAAAAACAGCTGAATTAGGGAATCATTTGAGAGCCAAAGGTCGTTGTGCTTCCTGTCGGTATCACCTGGACGTGCCACGCTCGCTTGGCTAGGAGTGGCTGGCCGGAATTCCGCAGACACGCGTTCTGGTAGTGACCTGGCGTCAGACTTGTGTGGACTTGGCTGGTTTTTGGAGCAATGCCACTGGAAGCGTCATTTGGACGAATGCCAAGAAGAGTAGTTCCCACTTCCCCCTCCCCTCCCCTCCCCTCCCCTCCCCTCCCCTCCCCTCCCCTCCCCTCCCCTCCACCCTCCCCTCCCCTCCCCTCCCCTCCCCTCCCCTCCCCTCCCCTCCCCTCCCCTCCGCTCCCCCTCCCCTCATGTCTCGAGGTAGCCCACTGCCAGTTTTTCTCGAAGCTGCTGGGCAAAGGCCTCGGAGCGTTCGCTGCCGTGCACGTGCGGTTGGTTTTGCATGGACCCAAAGGAGGAACTCTGTTGCCCAGCGGATTCCGGCCCTTTTTTCCACGGTGTTTGGGTTTTGGGTCCCCCTTGAAACTCAACCAACCCAAAAAAGGGTGCCGATTCTTTTTTTTCCCCATAGAGGTCCACTAAACATCTGAGGGAAAACATGGGTCTTTCAGCTTCGGGTTGGCCTCCGGTGCAAGTGCCCCGTTTTAGTCTCTCGTCATCTAGGAAACCCGCTTTTTCGGAGATCCTAGAGTTCAAGTCCATTTCAGGTTGAAACATTCGGCCTCCATTGCCTGCCCAGAGGCTCCTTGGGCTTTCAATGGAAGACCCGACCCCTCCATCAGACACCCCGGAGGTGGTTGGCCCTAAATCAATCGGCATCCATTTCTCGCAGAATTTTCAGCCTGGTTTAATCGGCATCCATTTCCTGGTAGAAATTTCAGCCTGGTTTCCCGTTGAATTGTTCGGGGCGCCCGGTTTCCCGCAAACTTTTTTGGAGCGCCTGCCCGCCGATTTGTTGTTGGAGGGAGCCTCTGGGTAGAATTTCAGCCCGCTTTCCCGCCGAACTTTTTGTGCCGCGAATCCACTCGCGCAGACTTCGGCCTGGACCGGTACCTCAGCAACGCGGAGGTGAAGCGCTGCATCTTTGACCCCCAGACCGAGGCTCGGGATCCCGGAAGCCGGGTTAGCGGGCCCGGTGACTGGCTTTTGGAGGTGCCGTGTCACCCCTTCTTGGTGGATTTGAAGGGAAACCGAAAGGAGAAAGTCGCAATATTTTTTTGGGGGTCCCCTAACAAAGACACAGAAAGGATCCCCGAAATCCATTTAGGATCCAGAAGTACACCGACTCCAAACCAATCCACATTTTTGTTTAACAAAGACACACAAAGAAAGCCCGAACTCCATTTAGGATCCAGAAGTACACCGACTCTTTTTTGGCGCACAGCCAGATGGGGTGGTTATTTCTTGTGGGTCGCATCTAGGATATTCCTGCCCACACCACTTTGAATTTCAACTACTGGAGGGCCGAACTCCATTTCGCACCACCTAAGACACTTTGATTGCCCTGTAAATACCCTACAAACGTTCTGGTTTCAGCCGTGGTTTCATTTCGTGGTGCGAAATGGATTTCGCAACCATCCCCAGTACCAAGAAAAGAGCGCCCTATGTTTTCTCATGGCCACTCAAGGTCTGGTTTATCCTTTGGTCTCCCAGACAAAAACCAACCTGCAAAACGGTACAGTACCAAGTGAAACAAACACAGCCATGACCCGAGGGGCCAGAATGACATCTAGTACAACAACCAACCAAAAGGGCTCCACCATTTCGAGACGCATGTCATGTCATGAATGTTCATTGGATCCCTTTGAAAGGGCGTCATTTAGGGGATTCATGTCCACCACTGAGGTGTCTCAACCTACAGAAATTCAAGTCGCCATGTGCCCAAACAATGCACGGCCCCCCATAGATTCCTCCCCACTGAGCCCCACGTGGATGTTACGGTTGAAACGAGCCGAAGCGATCCGTTCCGTCCGCGAGGGGAAAAAACAATAAAAAAAACGCGTCGTTTCAGCTCGAGGTCTTCGATGAGTTGACGACCCTCTTCTTGCCCGAGGAGGGCAGCAGTGACGAGTCCTGACGCAAAGCTAGGCCTTGGCCGTGCTGCACTCCCTGAGTCAGCATGTTGGGTTGCTGGGTCACCCTGTTGACCATGGGGCCTCACCAAGAACAAACAAGGGTGGTGGGCTCACCATTGATAGAAAAAAGGGTGACCATGTTGGTGCGCCGAAAAAACACGCACAGTCGGACTTTTTTTGGGGGGCCTGTCCGCTCAAGTGAGTGCCAAAACTTGCGTCCGTGCCCTGGACCTTTTTGCGGCACCAGGGGCTTCCGCCAAAGCGCGAGGTTAATGACTGGAGGCTCCGGTCTCACCTTCGGCGAAACTGGTTTGGATGTTCCTCGCTGCTCGACTTGGTGGTTCTCGGCATTCTCGGCTTGGCATTCTGGTTTGACCACCGTTTTGGAAATGGGGCAACCAGTTCAACTGTTCGGTCAAAAGACGCAGGTTCTTTGGAAGAAACCTCTTGGCTCGGAACTTTCTCTCGCGAGAAAGTCGCCGAAGGGAAACCCGAGTGCTCCAGCGATCGAAGGAGAGCCCAGCTGATCGCTTCCGCCTGGAAGACTGGAGGGAATCGTCGACGGTGCAAATAGGATGCAGCTGCCCGAGCAAAGTGATATTCCCCTTTAAAATAAAATGCAAAAAAGAAAAAACAGGGGAACATTAAACAAATAATACTCCAACTGGAAGCCTAGATCCTCCCGAAAGGGCCCTGGAACCCAAGCACCCGAGCCGGGAAACGGAGTTTTCGAGATCGCGACCCTGGATCGGCGCGGAAGCTTTGGTGATCGGATTGATTTTGATGGGAATTTTAGCCGTAGTGGGGAGCCACCATTTTGGGACAGGAAGAAGGTTGATGTTGATCGGAAGATCCGTTTTAGTGAGCCAACGTTTTGGGACAGGAACAACCCCATGAATCCAAGGGATTCATTCCGGGGGTCAACATCCCATTTGTTCCCCAAGGTAAGATGATGCCCTCCCTCCAACATGCAACCAGTACCAGTCTGCTCTCTTGGGCAGTTGAATCCTGGATCCTGTTTTCTCTCGTTTTGTCCAAAGACCCGGACGTGGTCAATGGGTTTCTTTGTGGTTTCCCTTGCCAACCGAAGGGCTGGCCTTGAACTCACTCCCTGAGTACCTGGACTTGGAACTTTTCAGAACAACCGCTTCAGTAGTAAACAACAAGTTTGGACTGCTTTGGCCCGTCCACCCAAGAAGTGAGGCAACTACTGCGGATGGACGAATTGTTGCACCACCTGAACAGCCCTGGAATGATGGTTCCCCTGTAAATACCAACAAACACTGGCTTCCCATGGTTTCAAAGTGGTACGCATTGGATTTCGCAACCACCCACAGTATCAAGCACCACGCGCCCCTAAGCGCCCTGCCAACGGACGCAACGCAGGCGATCGCGGGGGGGAAGAAGCAGCTTGGCGGAAAGCGTCGAAGGCTTTGAAGGTCCGGATGTCACGAAGGGTCGTTTGGCTTTTAAAAGGTTTTGCAAAGAGGAAGGCATAGGACAGCAAGAGGAAGCCATTTTGTGGACGGGGGGCTCAAGTTTGGAGCTGTTTCTGTCTCGTTTTTGTTGTTGTTATTGTTTGGCTCTGAGTTTGAGTTCTCAGGCGATTCACCTACTACGACTTTGAGAAGTATTTCCGCAAGGCCTGGATGGAGCTTTCCTCACGAGGGTCACAGGCAAAGAGAAAAGAGACGCAGACCCTTAATCCTTACCTTGGGTTGCGCAACGGGTTCCCCTTTGCGGTGGCTTCCCTTTGGGAATCATTGATTGGGATTGGCCAATCCACCATTTCGACCAGAGCCTAGTCCCCTTCAAAGGGAAACCCAAAAGGAGCTTGTTGAACCAATCGTGGTTCAAGCACGTTTTATCAATAAGGGTGCCAACTAGACCTCGTTGTGGTACCGGTTGACATCCTCCATCAACTCCACTTTCCAAGTTTCTGGACTTCAAGGTCAGTGCTAGAATTATTGGTTCCCTTGTTTGGTGAGGGTGGATTCCCCGAACCATTTTTCCCTTTCAGTGAGTGACCATTGCCAGACTTATCAACTGGCCTTTTTGCCCATGGGCTTTTCGTTCTTGGCTTCCTCTATTTTCCATTTCGCCAGCATGCCTTCCATTTGCTAAAATGATTTTTTTTTGTTTATTTCCCCCTGTTAGGTTTAAAGAGAATTCATTTCACTACTGGACATATGTTGTCATGTTTTCCAGGGAAACAGCAAATGGAAGAAGAAGCTGTCACTTTTGTCGGCTGGATCCGTCTGGCCGAGTGATCGATCCAGGCGGTGGTGGCAGCGACCCCACGACCGCCCAGCAACATGAACCGCTCGGCCGGGGCCCGAAAAAACTCTCGGCCAACAGAAATCGGGTCCCCGGTAGCACCGTGCGATATATCAGGGGTCCCTTGTTTGTGGTTTTAATCATCGCCTGTTTGGCCCATGAAAGGTGAGTGTCCCTTGGTGGGTGTGATGTTTCAAGGGACATTTCGGGAGCCCTATTTATGGCTTTTTTGTTTGGTTGGATATTTTTTTCTTTTTTTTTTTTTTCGGGAGACTGGAGTTTCCACTGGATGCAGAGGTGTCAACAGCAACCAACTGCAAGTTTTCAAAGGGGGCCAAAAGGGGGCAAGCAGGTTCAGGTCACCCAACCACCTACCCAAATGAGTCACAATCAAAACCCGGGTAGTTGGAGGGTAGTACGGGACGACCCCAGCCATACATGGGTGCGGCCGCCTTTCGATTTCTTTCATGGTTCTGGGTAGACCATTTGACAATTCCGGGATTTGATTATGGCTGAACTGCAAATCCCCTTTTGCCAGCGTTTGGCGAAGGCAGAGCACGCCCTGGGAGACCAGAGAAGCCCGTGTTTTTTTTTTTGAGCCCCACGATTTCCATTTCATTCCGTTTGCAGAAATGAATATGTTGTGTTTTTCCCTTTTGGTTTTAAGGGACATTTGTCACTACGTTTTGTTTTTTCCCCAGTGGGCTTCAGCAAAGGGAAGAAGAGAGAGCCAGAGGCTCAAGAAAGTGGTGCATCAGGGTATCGCTGCATCGGCAGTACAATCTCAATTCGCTCCGTCAGCTCTTGATTCGACCACGCATCTAACGTTTTGCCGGTGTCCGTCTGCCTTTATTCCCCCCGTTTTTGGAAGCATCGACGCTTGCAGGTTGAGGGAGATTTAACGGATTCCCCTTAAACATGTTTGGTTGAACACTTTTACAGCAAAGGAAGCCGTTCTGCGGGGGCCAGCTCCAATTTTAGTGGTGGAATCACACAGAGACACAGACCCCTTGAAATTCATGAGAGGGTCTTCATTTTCACGTGATTGACACGATTAAGATTGGGTTTGGCAGAGATCGGTCGGGTGGGTGAGATCTCTCTCCACCTTATGGACAAAGGGACCTTCACACCAGAGGGTTCTTCATTTTTTTACGTTCAACCAAGGAAGGTTCTTCCACATCCGTAGCGGACATAAAATTGGTAGAGCGATAAATAAGTACCAACAAAGCACACACTCCTTTGGCCAAACTCGCTTTGGTGCCCCAAGCCCCATTCTAGCTGTCTAGCTGCTCATAAAAGGCAGATTCAACACCCGGTTTGCTTTTGGCTTGCCTCGCCTCGCCCCCTCCAAACGGGAGTCTGGTCGCCGTGGGTTTTGGCACCCCGCCGAGTCCACGCGCGTCTTCATCATTGGACCGGGATTCGGCAACCAGCCGCGACCCCAGCACGTCCCCAAATGAAGGTGGCATGGGTGTCCTTTTTGGTTTGCTTAAAAATAGAGGGCCCTGGTTTAGATGGGGTTTATTCCATTCACCAGGCTGCGATTCGTTGGGTGTGCTTCTGGTGCCTGAGAATTATTTTCTCCCCGTTCCCCTCTCCCCCCCCCCAACCAAAAGCCGGGTCAGGTCTTTTGGGCCCCCAAAAAATAGACTCCCAAGAAAAACCAGCATGCTCCCCTTCCCAAAAGCCGGGGCCCCTTGCGTTGGTAGCATTTTGGGATATGTTTGGGGTTCAAGAGTTGAAACTTTTGCCATGTGCGGGGCCACGTGGATGAGATTTTGCGGAAGCCAACATGGAAGCTGTCAACATTGTTTGAGCAGCAAAGACGAGTCCGCATTTGTTTTTTTATGGAATACTTTTTTTGGGGGGAACCCAGAGAACCCATTTTTTGGGGGAAGCTTCGCTTTTGGGGAAGCCACGCCAAGACCCACACCAAAGGGTCGGATTCGTTGACTTGCAGGATCAATCCAAGACAGAGTCGCATGGTGGAGGCCGCTGGATACCAGGCGCATTGCTGGGTGGAGTTTTGGATGGGGACAGCTTTCCTATAAACGGCGTGGTTTCCCTTGTTGGGTGGTTTGGAGCCGAATCGGTTGGGTGCTTTGGGGGTTTGGGGGATAGTGGAAAGCCTCATGGTTTGTGGATCAAGTCTTTGGTGCTTTTTTTTTCCTGTTCAGTTTTCGTAGGTTGCAGAGAAGCAGTGGGCTTTTGCAAGCCCATACCAAGGGGTGTAAAGGGAACGCCGGTGAAATTCCAGGAAACTGTGGAAAACTGATATTCAGCCTTGCCAACCTGCGAACCGCGCGCCGATGGTTCACCTCTGTACAATTTTTCGTGTGCTTCCCGCTGCTCAAGAAGTCTCCGACTTGAGAGACATCAGAGAGATGACCAGGGCTTGGGAATCGTGCGCTGCCTGCTTTTTACACACCCTCCTGACCCAAGGCAGGTTGGCCCTCCGGTTTGGAGCCGAGCCGAATCGGTGGATTTGGGGGGTTTGGGGCTAGTTTCCCATTTTGCCACTGGAAGAGCCAGAGGTTCAAATCCCCACGCCGCGGAGGTATGGGACTTGGAGATGCCACTTTGTGAAAGCCGGCGGAGTTCTTCCTTTTTTTTTAAGGCTTCGAAATCCAGACCCACAAGAATGTGTGGGCCCTGCTTCTCTTTCTTTGAGGAAGACTCTGCAAAATCAAACGAGCTTTAAGCCCCTCAAGGCAACCATGCTTGAGTGAGTTCTTTTCCCCATTTTCCAAATCTCTGCGGGGTGATGCTCAAGGAGACAATACGGGGTCTCAAAAGAATGCCCACCGCAAAAACAAGAACACCACAAAACACACAATTAAAACAATTTGAGCTTCCCTTTTGGACCCCGAAAAGGATACGGCACGCCTGGGTATCTGTGAAACTGGGCCCCCAAGCTTGTGGCTTTCCTTTTGGACCCCTAAGCAATCTGGGAAATTTGGTGCCGAAGCTCCAAAAACAGCACGAACATGTATCCAGCATGGGAGTCTCTTCAACTTGTGAATCTGCTTTCAGATTTCAGGCGGTTGCCCTTTCTTTAACCCCACCCAAAGAAGGACCCTCAATTTGTTTCACAGATATGGCCGTGGGTCAACACCGATGGGATCCCATTTTGGGGTAGGTGCACCACCCATTTTAGAACCTGTTTTAGTGGTTGGATTGGGATGTTCACTGGGGGTACGATTTGGCTCTTGACCCATGGCCATATGTGAAGCATAGGCCTTTTGCCTTGTTTTTTGAGAACCCAAAAGTCCTCGGACCTGCGGGCAGATCCGGTGGTGCTTCAACGTGCCCAACCCGGAGATCCCCAACTTCCCGGTGGAGCCCTACCTGGGCCGGGGACCCGCTTTCTCGCGCGCCTGATGGATTCCACTTGCCAGAAAAGGGTTAGATGCCTTGACTGGACCGGGGCCCAGTCCCTAGTTTAAGATAGACACCCCCTTTGGTGCTCTTTTCTGCGTGCAATCTGTTGCTTCTTCTGCCCAGGTGTGATTTGACTTGTTTTTCACCTTGGAAAGCAAAAACCAACGTTTGGGAGGGCTCGGCTCCTTTCGGCTTCTTCTTGCCATGGTGTTTGAGCGACCCCTGTCCCCCAACTGTCACCTGTGTTTCCAGAGCCCATGGCCTAGCCGTTGGCTTTCCCGCGACTTTTGGTGGTGAGGTCAGATCAAAATGGAGATGGATCAGCCGGGGCCTGAGGTGACTCGCGAGAGCGGTCTCGCGGTGAAGTCGAACCTCCCCTTCCCCCGGGCTGGTTCATTGGGGTCCCAGGTTTCTGTTGGGTTCTTTTTCATCTCCCGGGGGCCTTAAACGGGTTCCAAGAAGGATTTTGCCAGCTTGCGCCGAACCAACAAAACACGTGTTTTTCCGCATCCTAGGACCCATGCTTCAGTGAACTCCTTTCACTTCGGATGGGTTTGGAGGTGCGGATTTTCGCAAAGGGTTGAGGGGGTTGGGGGGTTCATGGCTGGGGGCTTTGGGGAGTTGGGCTTGGGTTTCCCAAAGGTGGAGCCAAAGGACTTGTTCCGTTCGGCTTGCCCTTCCTTCCGTTTGCTTTGGGTGACACCGCGGCCATCCCCAAAAAAGGGGCGACTGCGGGACCCCCTTGACCTTTCTTGGAGCTGCCGTCGCAGCCTTGTAGGCTATGCCACGCTCATCGTATTCAGCCGTCAGAACCATTTTGCCTCTGACACTTGAGGGCGGGGGGGGGGGGGGCAAATGCACAAAAACACATTGACCATATTGACCTGATCAGTGTGTATATAGCTCTTTGCCAGACATCTTTTAGCCTTTGGTGGTGGTTTCCATTTAACCCACTAAAGTTAAACTTTTAGCGGGGGATCTGAGGGCAGCCCAGGAATGGTTGGCGAGGCGCTCCGCGGGTATTTCACACGGCTGAGGTTCCAGCCCCACGTGGTGGTGGGCGCCTCCAAAGGCGAGCAACGGATCGATCGGATCGGATCGATTGGATCGGAAAGGGAGATCCTTCCGTTTGCTTCAGACTATGTTTCTTTGGGCTTTTAATCGCTTTAAAGGGAATCTGCCGCGACTGGACATATTTTTTCCAGTGGGCGAAAACGCCAATGGAAGGATCGGATGGGTTGTGGGAATGGAACCCTGCAAGGCCGCTGGAGGTTTTCTTTGAAGACTTCCTTTCGTCCGGGTTTCCGCCATTTCCCTTTTTTGGGAACTCCAATAGCGGCAATTGGCCCAATAGAACCCACCAGTAAGTTGGTCAACCTTTGCAGTAGAAACCCAGTCCAGGTCCCCCAGTAGTGCCCTTTTACTCTTTTTTGGGGGAGGGCTCCCCTACTAAAATAAACTATAGGAAAAGAGGGTTCCCTTATGCTAACCTCTCTACTGGAGGACCTAGCAGTTATCGACCTAGCAGTTATCCCTGTTCAGTTGTCTCGTCTGGTTTTCTGGTTTTATTTTGGCTTCCCTGGCCGCTCCTGGTTCCTGGCTTTGCTGACTTGTTGTTTCCCGGCTTTCCTTTGCCAACTGAAACGAACGGCACAAAGCGAGGTTGGAAACATGCGAGTAGACCAAGTTTGGGAACCAACAGGTTTCTGTACGTCCACAAAAAGGCCTCTTTGGGGCTTTTCAGTAGGCATTTGCTGGTTTCCCCCCTTTTCGGGGGGGCATGCCCACATTAAAAAAGCTTCAGGCAGTGTGAAGGACGTTTCCAGAAGGCAAGCACGGGACAATCAACCCATTCAGAGTCGTGAGATACATAGCCATACTTGTTGTCGGTCAAACGAAACTTAGATCCGCTACTCCTGAGTTAGTGGTTTGGATTGGCGGTTTGGGGATTTGAACCCCTGGTGCTTGAGGGAAAAGGGGACACCACCCCACCACCGAACCACCAATCCAAACCACCCAACCACAAAAAAGTTCCAAAGCTGATAAGCAGATGGAATACCCAGGACCGCCTCTTTCGTCGGACCCCGATTCAATCCTCTCGGTGTTTTGTTTTTTCCACCTTGGTGTTCGACGAGGTGATCGAAGGCGGCCGTGGGCCGGACTGGACGCCTGCGGTTGGGAGAGTCTTCGCTGGAATCAATCCACCTGCAGAATCTCAGCAAGCGAGAGCCAGGTGTTCCTTTTTTTTCTTTCAGGAATTTCTCATGGTGTGTCTTGGCGAAGAGAACTTCGTATGGCCGGAGGGGAGGTGTTGAATGCCTTCATTCATGTCCAGCTGAGAACATCCGCACAGATTTCGATCCAAGCTCCGGCTTGCGATATCTTGCGATCGGACGCGGATCCAACTTGCGGCCTCCTAGGCTCATGCCCCAACCCCCCGAACTTGTCGTGAGCGTACCCCCCTCCCTTTTTGGTAAAGGGAACCCACCATCTGAACACAGACACATCCCAACTTCTGGAAGCTTCCAGGTTGAATGCTTAGATCTACAATATTCCAAAGCCCCTAGGTTCATTCCTTAAGCAGCAAAACAGCGCGGAGCCAGGGGGCGTCTACATCGTGGGCCTTTGGGAGCGCTACATGTGGCGCGGGCCGGGGCCCTCTGGAGTCGAGGACTTCCTGGCCGTGGATGGACCAAATGCCGCACCACCGTTCAGAAACCCTGGAATGATTCGGTTCCCCAACATAAAAGCCAACCAACCATGGTTTCAACCATGGTTTCTTAGGTGGTGCGACATGGATTTCGCAACCATCCACAGTACGGCCAGCAATTTTGTCTGGGAAACCATAGTTATCGGGGGACGCCCGCCCCCCAAAAGAAAAAAAATGTTGTTTCCTCTTGGTTTCCCCCCCAAAAAACAAATCCTAAAACAACGCCCTCAAAAGAAAAACAACAACTAAAACAAGGCCCTCAAAAAAAACAAAACGAGGGCACCCTCAAAAAGGACCGAATTCGTCACGGCCCTTTGCGCCCGGTTTGGTCACTCTCAGATTGGCCCCCCCCATAGCCCATCCATCCGTCCGTGCATCGAGGCCAACGGTTCTGATCAACGCGCCGCAGCCTGAGACTTTTCGCGGAAGGGACACCAAACGGCATGGCACCTGCTACTTGATACCTGGTTTAAAGGAATACCGGAGAAAATGCCATGCACACCACCTGGTAAAAAGAAGAAGAAGTGAAAGCCAGATCTTTATGGCCACTGGGTAAATTTGTTGGGAAATCTCGGGGTTTTCCGCCACACAAAGTTTTCCACACTTTTTGACGAGGAGTCAACGGCAAAGGGTACATGTTGAGGAAGGAAGCCTGCGCATTCATTTGGGGAGGTACTGTGGATGGTTGCGAAATCCATTTCGCACCACTTTGAAACCATAGGAAACCATTGCTGGTGGGTATTTACGTTGGGGAATCGACTCATTCCAGGGCTTCTGAAGGGTGGTGCCTAAGAGTCGGATTTCGCAACCATCCACAGTAGCACTCGGGACCTTCTAGTCCGAAGTTCTCAAGACGGGCTATGCCAGGTGAGTCAACCAAGTCTTCTCTACTTTCAGTGCATCGAGATGTTATGTCCAAGTCAGGTTGCTCCCACTTTGTATTGTTTTTTGTTGGTTTTGTTACACGTATGTCGTGCGTGTTTGTTTCGTTTTTGATTCACGCATTCACTGCTTGATTTATGTATTTTTCCATTTGCCGGTGGATTTGTAGATGTTATTTCTCCTCCTGTTTTTCTCCTTTTTCTCCTTCCGCTTCCCTTTCCTCTCCCTCGGTGCCATCGGCCACCTCCAATGTCGCTTTCTGAGGCACCCCATGTGCAATCGCCTACCGCAGGAGACGCTTGCGCCATCCCGCGGTGGGCTTTGGGGGGGGGCGCCAATGAAAGACACGGGCCATTACGAAAGCGGAGAGGAAAGGTGCTGGGAAACTGGACGCTAAGTAGCCTTGCTGGTGCGCAGTAGGGGGTTTTGACCCAGGGTTTCCATTCAAGGAAGCCATAGAAGATGGCTTGTTCAAAGGCCATTCCCTCATTCCCTACTGAGAACCAGCAAGCAGCTCAGAGCTTGAATTCTGCCAAAGGGTTCCAGACCCAGCTCCGCTTGGTCGAAAAGGACATTGCCGTTTCTGAAAAACAGGGGACACAACTTGGGTTGTTTTTTTGTGGGAACCTGGAATACCATCCAGCAAGGGGCTAGAACCCACGATCTAACTGGATTCCCTTCCAACCGACTGTACTTGGCGAGACTTGCAGCATCGGTTTGGCGAATGTTCTCTCCCAGAACGAAGATGCTGCCAAATACTCCAGCTAGGCCCCCCAGCTACGCCAGCTAGGTGCCCTTTGACCAACTTTTTTGGGGGGGTTCCCCTACTAAAATAGACTACAGAAAAAGGGCACCCTTATTCTAACCTCTCGACTGGAGGACCTAGCCAGGGTGATTGGTAAGTCCACCTGGTGTCACCACTTTTGCGTCACCGGGATTTGCAGCCAGGCAAAAAAGGAACTCACAGAAGCCTCATGTTGTTCCAGGGGCATAGTGCTAGAAAATTGGGACCCTCCTGAATGGGACTAAAGCCTCGGTGGTAGCACAGCAAAGTGTCAATTTGGGTCTACGTTGTTATTTTGAAGGTGACCTTTTTGTTGTTGGGTTGAAGCGAGTCAAAAAGGAATCCGACTGCCCCATTTGAGGGTTTTGGGGGATCCACCTCAACCGGGCACATGGAGGGGTTTTCCTTTTCACCTGGCCCGGCACCTTGCTACAACCTGCGTTCCCTCAGGAGACCAGACCAAGGAATTCTTTAAGAGCTAGGATTGCGCAGGTGTTTGTCTTTGTTTCCATTTTTACCTCCACTTACCTAGGGGCAATTTTGGGTACATTTTTTGAGCCACAGCCAGCTTGGCCCAACATTGTCCACCAAAGGGCGTGGGCCCAATCAAAGTTCACACCTGCGAGTTACTTGCCCCTTCAAAATCTGTCCGTTTTCCAGGCACCAATGTCTTTGCTGAATACCCCCTTAATTGGTGGTTTGGGAGTTGACCCCCATGTCCTCCTGTGGCCTCTGCCCCTAACCAAACAACCGAACCAACCTGGGACGAAGCTGAAAGGGGACCACCCACCAATATCTGGGTCCGACGGTTCGCAGGAGGCGAACGTGGCCATGGCGGTGGGGTCCAACGATGAGGCGACGCCCGATTTTCCGCTGCTTCGGGGCCTGGAGACGGCGCCGAAAAGCGGCGTTCCGCGGAGTCTCGGGTTCGGTCGCTTGGGCCCAGGAAACGTGAAGCGCAGAAGTGAGTATTTCTTTGGGGGGGGGGGGAAAAGTGGGCTGTGCAAAGGCAATCCGCAAAGATCCTGAACCCAGGGGTTACACAAAGATAAGGAAACGGTCTACTTTGTTGTGACTTTCCAATAGGGGATTACGGGATTAGGATTGGCAAACACTCCATCTTGAACAGCCTGGAAAAAACAGGTTTTCTTGGGCCCGACAAATTGTGGAGCATAACAACATGTTTCTTTACTTTGTTTGTAGTTTTCCTGTTGATTGGTTCTGTTCATTGTTCATGGGGGGGTAAACGACCATGCCAAGGAAGCGAGTGCTTGGGGTGCGGTTTGCCAAGCACCCATTGCCTGTCAAACAGATGTCATACTGATGGTTGCGAAGCTCATTCCGCACCACCTGAGAAACCATGGTTGAAAACCAATGTTTGTTGATGGATGAGTCCCGTCGATCCTAAGATCTTATTCCCAAGTTTTGAACTGCCATTTGCGTGTCAGATGTTTGGCTATGTCTCCCTCTTGGTTTTACAGGGAGTCGATTTCACTGGAAGTATGCGTTTTTTAGTTTCCCCAGGGGACGGGAACACAAAAGGAGGTTGGGACGGCCATTCGGTCCATCCACTTCGGAAGTGAGAGAAAGCCTTGCCAGGGGTTCCGTGACCCTCAACTTTCGGACTGAGCATGAGCTACGTGTTGTTTGTTTAACACCTTGGCCTAGCCGGAAAAATTGGAGCATAGGAACAGCCGACGTGTCGGTGTTCAGCGGGTTTTGTTTTTGGGAATGGACCGCCGTGAGCGGAGAGCCCAATGGAAGAGCTCCTCGTGGCTTCGACCCAAAACTGCGTCCGGCAGGTCTACCCCATCTCCCGGGCCGAGCTCGAGGCGTGTGTTTGGGGGAGACGCAAGGAGGGGCCATGGGTCAAAAGCCGGGGGGGAGGGGGCGGGTTTTCCGTTTCATTGGCGTGGAGTAGCCGGCCTGAAAAAATGGGGTTTTGGAGAGTGGGTGTTCTGTAGATATTCCGGGCAAGGCCTTGCAGGAAAGACTCATGTTTGCTCGGTGGATTACAAATACTCAAGTCACACTCAAGTCAGCCAACTTCAACTGAAAATACTCCAGTCAACCAACCTCACCTGAAAAATACTGGGTGTTGATTGCTCAGAAAGTGGCTGCAAGATGCATTTCAACTGGGGGACCGGGTCGGTCTCCAGAGCGCAAGGGAGGGGGAGCCTTTGAAGTGGGGGGAAGAGCAACTCTGCTTCGGGACCCTCCCCCCAAAAAGCAACCTGCAAGAGGGGGAGAGTATTTGTCCAACCGCAAGTAGGGCGGTCGAAGATGTGCGGAGTGTGGAGGCAAAAAACAGCTCTAATTTTGATATGCTTGTTAGGCAGTAGCCCTGATATAAGTGGCATTATAGCCTCGATAGCTCCGAATTCTATACCTCAGTTATCCCTTTGATGGGCTTGGATGGGTGGTTTGGGGATTTGAACCCCTGGTTCTTGCAGAGGGCAAACGGGAAACAACCCCAAACCCCCAAACCCCTTGGCTCGGCTCCAAACCACCCTTCTCGAGGAAAGCTAGATACCTGAGGCCTGAGGCTGCCTTGCTTTGATTTTCACCGGCTTTCCCTTTGTAACCCTTGGTATGGGCTTGCAAAAACTGACTGTCTTTGTTGCAGTCTAAAACTGGAAACCAAAAGCACTAGACACTTGATCCACACTATGAAGCTTTCCACAATCCCCAACCCCCCAAACCACCCAAACCCATTCGGCTCAAAAAAGAGCACAGTTGGTACCAACTTATGCTAACCTCTCAAATCTGGAGGACCTAGCTGCAGCTGCCAGGTGCTGATGAACACCGGGGGCCAGAACAAGACCTTCATCTACTGGACCGCGGACAGCGGACGGTTGCCCTCGGGCCAGATCTCCCGGCAGGGGGACACCCACAACCAGGCGCGCGGTCCCGGAAGCGATGCGAGAGGGGGCGAGAGTCGGGGGCGGGAGTTGGGTGCGTACGGGACTTTTGGTCCAAACCATAGGTGCCCTTTTCGGTTGATTTGGTTGCAAGGTAGAGGGGTTTCGATTCCTGGCTTACCTGGTGGTTCACATGGTCCAAGCACTCGATCCGGTTTCGCGCATCCGGTTCCTGGAGCTTCTGCTTTTTGCATTTTGGTTTGCTTCTTGCTTGGCCTTTTTTGGGGTTGGTTTCGTGGATGGGTTTCCGTTGAACCCGCGAAGAGTTAAGCTTTTAAAAAGGGGGATCTGAGGACAGCCCAGTTGTGTTTTTGTCTTGGGGGCACTATGGTTGTGGTGGCTTTAAAAGAAAGCCACCATGGATAAAGCCACTATTTTGTTTGGGGTGGGGGTCTGGTGCTCTTTTTTTTTCTCTTCCTAGGGCTGCTTTTTTTGCTAGGGCTGCTTCTTTTTGCTAGGGCTGGTCCCCTGGCTGGGTTGGGTTGGGTTGGGTTGGGTTGGTTGGGTTGGGCTGGGTTGGGTTGGGTTGGGTTGGTTTGCTTGGGTTGGGTTTGGTTGGGGTTTGGTTGGGTTTGGTTGGGTTTGGTTGGGTTGGCCCAGTAATTAACAAAAACACACCAACGCACACACTTACCGTGGGGTCAGGCGGTCCCACCCATCAAAGCGGCAATTCGCGTTTGCCAATTCCATGTGGCAGAGATCCAGTTGCCCTATGGGTGAGGCGTTGTCTTTGCAGCGCTCGCTGACAAGCAAATCATGGAGGCTCGACTTCTCCCTGGATCGTTTTTTTGCAGTGCTGGAGAGGCTGCCTGATCTTGAAAATGCTCGCACAAGAGTATGGAGCGCTCATGAAATGTGTTGCGAGCCGGCCCGGCTCCCTCCAAGGAGTCGCTGCTGCACCACGACGTGCTGCCGCGGCTGATCGATGCGGTGCTCTGCAAGGAGGGCCCGGAGATCCATTTCCACCGCACCTGGAAAGAGAGGCGCCGGGGACGCGGACCGATGCTTCGGCGGATCGATGAGGATGCGGATGGATGTGCGGATGGATGTGCGGAGGGCTCTAGGGGTACCTTCCAATTTTCCATCCTGAACCCAGGGATCAGTTTTTTTTTTTTTTCAGGAAGCCATCAAAAAGGCAGAGAAACAGCTGGTTTTTGAAACAAGATGAAAAAAAATGCGGTTCCCGGCCAAAAAGAGAGCCTTGATTAAGAACTTAGTAAGGGCAAATTGGGGCTCCCTCCGCCCCCAAAATGCCAGCAATGTTGGGGTTGAGGGTTCACAGATCATGTCCATGGAAGATCCCGCATGGATGTGCCAGGAAGCCCCAAAGCACCTTCCGAACATCGGCGCCCTCTCGGTAAAATGGATAGCACTGGTAAATGATCAGAACCAACCCGCAACCAGTGGCACCCATCTAATGTTGACCCAGGATTAATAAACCCGGGGGTGGTCCCTTTTGGTTTGAAAGGCCATGAAACTTCCAATTGCTTAAGATGATTATTTTGCCTGAGGTTGGTTTTTGGAGGGAATCGACGTCACTACTGGACATAATATGTTATCATGTTTTCCCGGGGAACCCTGTTTTTCCACCCGCAAACCGTTTTTCCGGCCTCCATTCTACCTCTTGGCTTATGGGTCCAAGAAACAGGTTGGTTGAGAACACAAACCGGGTTTTCTTGGGGGGGGGGGGGGAATAAGCATATGGAAGCACACCTCCCCCCCCCCCTCCACCTTTTGGCTTATGAAAAATCCAGGTGGGGGGGGAATAGGCAACTGGAAGGACACCTATTTCCCCCCCTCCGGGCTTTTTTTTTCGGGTTCCACTCTCGAGCGAGGCTGTCTGTGCCCCGCAACGAGGCGGAGCTGTGGCTGGGCCGCTCGCAAGGATTTGGGTGGAGAATTGGGTGCCGCAACATCCATCCGTCCGTTCCGCACCACAGAAATGGCTGTCGCTCAAAAAGAAATGCCCAAAATGGCACGTTGGTATACGGAAACAAAGACCGAAATCTGCGTAACCCCAGCTGTTAATTTTGAGCCACACCCAAATCAGACACCCTAAAAAATGATTCGATTCCCCAACGTAAATACCAACGAGCAATGGCTTCGATCATGGCTTCTTGGGTGGTGCGACTGGATTTCGTCCATCCACAGCAGGGGTCCTGTTCATCGCTTAGTTTGGTTGGAAATAGACTGGTCTAAGTTGGTTTTAAAAACCATTTGCCAGGGAAGCCCATCTATTTTTCCCAAAAGGTCACCTATGATTGGTTGGATTTCAAGTCGGAGGTGGGCACATTTTCTGATAATAGCTTAAAACCGTTTGCTTCTGGCTTCCCTTGACACCAATCAAGAATGGAACCGCCATCTGTGTGGTGGAACATTGTTCTTTAGTTTCTCCGCTTTCTGTGATATGGTGTCTCAGAAGGTATCACAGAAGGTATCACAGAAGGTGTCATTGTTCACAGCTTTGGGGTAGGGTGGGGGCGGGGTGGAAGCGGCCAGAGCGGAGGAAGGGTCAAGTGGACGCCTGCAAAATGGGTGTCTTTTTGGGGGGTACCCTTTTCTTGTTCCTATTTAAAGGGAACCCAGAAGAACCGGGGCTCCGCTTCCCAAAAAACGACGAGCCGCAAGAACCCTCTTTCAACGGCACGAGATGGACGGGAAGCCGGACACATGAGGCAGATGTCCTGCCAACTTGGTTCCAGAAGGTAAAAGAACTTGAAGGGGGAAGAATTGACTCACCATGGGCCTTGAAGCCTAATCCCAGAATTCTGGGCCCTTCCCTGGGCTTATCAACCTTGGCTCCTCCCGGGCTTTTCCAGGGAGCCCACAGCCTCCCCCCCCAACAGAGAGCCTCTCTAGGAGGGCCCTGGACCTCGGATCAAGCCCAGTGGCCCCATCGACTTAGGCGCAAAATGCGAGAAAAACGGCGGGGGGAGGTCCCGAGGATTTCTTTTTGAAACCAAATCCGCGCGACGGCAGAAGACGAACGGGTTGTCCGAACGCATCCCCCAAGCACGGCTTCTTGGCTACGGTACCCGAGCTCCGCCAGAGCATGTCCCCGAGCGCAGGCCAAGAAGTTCTCAGTTTGGAAGCCAGTATTGTTTGCAGTTCGATAGCTCAGCAATTATGTAGAATCTAAATGCAGAGCTCATACAGCTCTTCAAGGAAACAACACTTCCGGTTTGTTTCTCACTTTCTGAATTCCTGAACTGGATCTACTTTTTGGGTTTTGACCGACCATTTCGTGATGAACCAAAAGTCGGACACAACCGGTGGGCCATCTACTCAAGTGAGTCACAATCAAAACCCGGGTAAGTGAAGGTTAGTAAGGGACACTCCCAACCATAAGTAGTTGCGGATATCCGCCTTCTTAGGTTACGACCATTTTGATCCCGGGTTTTTGAGCAAGTGACCTCAAGTGAGGTCTATCGATCGAAGCGCCGATTGCTCCCGGCTGAGGCTTCAGCCCCCAGGAGGTCACGCGGCTTTGGTCCACCAACGGCTACTCCTCCAGCGGGCACCTCTTCGACGTGCAGCCGGGCACCGAGGAGTTCCGCATGGTGAACGCCGCCTTCAAGGCGCGAAGAGCGCGCCTTGCGCTCGCTGGCCCGAGAAGAAGAAGAAGAAGAAGAAGAAGAAGAAGAAGAAGAAGAAGAAGAAGAAGAAGAAAAAACGAGTTGAATGGGACGGCGCAAGAATCAGATCCGTGGCGGTGGCGGAGTTTTCCTCTTTTTTTTTTGTGGGGGGGGGGGGAGTGGAATCGATGGCGCTGGGAAATGGTGGTTTGTTTGGGCAAAAATCAATGGCACTTTGCTTCCATTTGCTTAAGTATATGTGGTATTTGTTTGGTTGGTTTTAGAGGGAGTGGATTTCACTACTGGAATTTTTCACGGGGCTTATGCAAATGAAAGCCTGGCAATGATTAGAACCAAGCTGTAACCAGTGGAACCCCTCTACTTTCAACGCTAATATGTTGGTTGCTGGCTTTCAAAGGGGCATCAAACGCATCCGAAGATCAAAAAAGGGGGGGTCCCCTGGATTTGCACATCTAAGCCTGTGACTTCCGACCATTGAAAGTCCAACCCACGAAGATTTCCACTCAACACCCCCCCCCCCCCGCCAGTTTTAGTTGGCCCGGACCTTCCGAGCCGTCAGCTGTGAGCTCGGGACTCGCAGGTCACCAGCCGTCCAACAACTTTTGTTTCGGCAACCAGACTGGAATCATTATTTTGACGGTTTCGGGGGGTCAAAGACAGAAAATGGAACCGGTTGTTTCCCTTTAGCCCACCACTTAAAGACTTAGGGGCTGACTTTGACCATGGTAAAGTAATGAGGCCAGCCAGATCCCTTCCGTAATGGCAAAGCGCTGCAACTTGTTTTTGTCCAAACGGGGTTTCCGACATTTGTTTTGTTTTTAAGGGCTCCGTTGTTCAAATCCACTATCGCGCGTGGAGCCTAAACCCTAAACTCTAAACCCTAAACCCGAAACCGTTGTTCAAATCCAAAATTTCCGCACGCGGAGATTTTCTCGCTGGGTTGTTTCTTTCCTTTTTCTTTCCTTTCATGGAGCGCCTGGGCAGGCCTTGCCGATGGAGCAGCAGGCCTACATTTTGTCCCCCCCCGAGATGTGGGCGCCAGTGCGCGCCCTCCGCGCCCGGGGCCACAGAGGTCGAAATCGGAAAAGTGGACGGCCGTGCCTTGGAGGCCGTTTCGTTTTGGTGGCTGAAGTAGGCCCAAGTCCTTTTTGGTTGGGGGTGGGGGGGCCCCTCTTTTTTACGGTTGTTCAAGGTCGGGTTCTTTGAGGACCCCCTCTTTTTTTTTGGTGTGTGTGTGTGTTTGTTTTTTGCGACGTCTTGTTTTGTGGGTGGTTTTGAGAAGAGCACCACAAGAAGCACCATTTTGGAGGGAGCCCCCCTGAAAAAAAGACACCCAAATGGCCAAAAGGATACTGCCCTGTTTAGCATAACCCAAACAAGCCATTGAAAGGAGTCTCCTTTTTGGGAGATGCAACCCCGCTTGCTCGGGGTTGCATGCTAGGTTTGGTGGGGGAATATTCGAGGGGTAACTTCCATGTCCATTCTTTCCAGGGATCCGGATCTTTCTAGAAAACCACCGAAAACCCGAATGGCTGGTTTTGGACAAGAACGATGGCTGGAAAGGGTGGAAAAGGAATCAATCCCTGGAAACATGTTTTGCACTTTTCCCTGGAATTTGTCTTGTCACTACTGGACAAAAGGTTCAGTTTTTTCCAGCGGTGTTTCTAGTGTTTTGGGTCAAAGGCTGGCCCGTTGTGTCCAGATCCTTGGGCCGCGAAGGGTCCTATGGATGCACGAAATCCGAAATCCACGCCATGCACCAGCCTGGGATGGATGAACCATGGAACTGGTTTTTGTCCACGTAGGTCAACGTATTTCCGTCCATCCCTTCCTTCCCCATTTCCTTTTTCCAAGAAGCAGTTCTCCCTCAACCCAACAATCCCCCCTTTCTCCTGTCTCCTGGGGTCATTCTTTCGGTTCAGTTTCTAGGGGCTATCAAAGTCGGAGCATGGGATCGCTGGCTTCCCTGTAACCCCGCAGCTTCGGGGATGGCTTTGATGGTAAGAGGAGGCCAGTTGTGTCAAAGTTGTTGAGAACCCTGGAAGGGGACCCTTAGTATCACAGAAAGGGGCCAGAAAAGGGCCTTTTCCCACCTGTCCGTAGCCACGCCGGGACAATGACCTTGATTTGTTTCGTTTGGATGGGTGCAAAATCCATTTCCATCGAAGAAACCTTGGAAGTGATTCGATCACCCTGTAAACACAAGACATGGTTGCATCCATAGTTCTTAGGTGGTACGAAGTGGATTTCGCAACATTCCACAGCATGACTCAATTTAGTTTGAAGTACCCCACAACTTCACCATTCGAATCATAGTGTGTTGGTGGGATGAGGACCCACTAGAAAATGTCAACCCCACAAGAACTGGTTCCAATTCTGTTGCCACCACTCGGATGAAAGGAGAAAGGGAAACAGTGCTAGAGGCCCCTAGAAATACAGTGGATGGACGAAAACCATTTCGCGCGCCCGTACAGAAACCATGGTTGAACCCCATTGGTTGTTCTGCAAATACCGAACAAACGTTATGCTTTCAACCATGGTTTCTGAACGGTAGTGCAAGAAACATATTCGCAACCATCCGCAGCATGACCAACATATGACGGGTAGAATATGGGATTCAGCCGTCCTTTCGCTTGCGCTTTTGGGGACTTTCTACCCCTGTCTGGACAGCGTCCACAGGCAAACAATTCAGGTGGAATCCTCTAGATTTGTTCCGAATGAGAACATCTGGAGTGAACCTTCTTGGTTGACCAAGCGTGGGAAAGTATTGATCCCGGATGAATCAACCTCAGTTCATGAATAGGGGTGTCTTCCCCTCCAAAAGTGATGATTCCCCACTAAAACCAGGAACACACCCCTATCAATATGCAGGGGTTGATGAATCCGGGGTTAACATTAATTGAACATTGATTCTGAACTGAGTCAGTTAACCCTAATGTGACATTCTCAAGTTTGCCCTCCTGATTTTGCGCCCAACCCTTGTGCAGGTTGGGCAGGGTTTCTACGTGTTCAAAGAAATGGTCCCAACAACATTTCTGTTGAGCGCCCCTTTCAGGGACGCAGATCTTCTGTTCACCATTGTGTTGATTTCTAGTAGGTCACCACTCCTCCTCGTTGTCTCACCTCTTTTTTTTCCGGGGCCCGGGTCCGCTCCGGCCAACAGAGACCGTCGCTTACCGGAGCCGCCGCCGGGTGCCGAGATCCAGCGAGTGGAGAACGGCCCCCAGGGCGACGCCTCCTGGAAGCCTTACTACAAGTCCCTGGGGCGGCCGCTCGCTCAGACGCCGGACGCCGCCGACGGCGTTTCGCTTTTTTTTGTTTTTCCTTTTCCGGATTCGGGGTCCGCAAGGTTGGGAAGTACCATGTGGTTCGGAGAGGGAAACCGAACCCCCCGGTGTTTGGGGGCGGGGGTGGGGAAGGAAAACGTCTGTGTTTTTGAGGAGGCTCCACCCAAAAAGGAGGCGGGGCTCAGGGAGGAGAATGCAAGGGGCTGAGTACCTAATGACCATCATGTTCAGATGGTTATGACATAGTTTTTACTCGCTTGATCCTTTCATTCTGTTCATGATCAGGCGCATAACATGTTTGCTAGTCAAAAAAAAACACCGACCATCCTGATTTACTGGCTTGAATCTGGTTCCCTTCTCTTTGGATCTTTGCATATCGGAGCAACTGACCAGGTGGCAAGGAATTCTTCGCCTTGGGGATCTGGAGGCTGATGCCAAGCCAGTCTTTGTCGCCCACCTTTTCGTTTTCGAGACTCCTCCAAGACTCCAAGGTGTCGGCGTCTTTTCTTAACGGAAATTCGAACAGATTGGTTGGGAAAACTGCTGGGTGTGTCGAGTTGTTCTAGGCTCGGCCCCCCTTTTGCGGGTTGCTTCGTGGACACCAAAGGAGACCAACGCCTATGTTTCTTTTTTGTTCTTTGATTTTTTTGGCCGCGGGGGGGGGGGGGGGGGGGGGCTGGTGAAACTCATTTTAAGACACGCTCATTTCTATGTGACTGCGTTTGCAAGGATGAGTTCCCTACGTTTATCTCATGAGTTTAGTCCGAGCCAGATGGCCAGATGATCGGTAGGAATTCGGCTTTGGCTTCTCTTCCCCCGATCGGTACCAATCTTCCGCCGTAGGGTCAATGGATGTGATCAGCTAGACTGATCCATACCTTTCGGTTGCGGTTGCCAGTGGTAAAAAGCAGGGAATGGCCGCGTTTAAAAAACAAAAATAGACAAGCGGGTCACCCTTACATGGTGGTTGTTGGGAAGCATGTGGACCATTTTTGCTTATTGTGGAGTGGTGGAAATCCAGCCACTTACCTGCTAAGACTTGAGAATGTTTGCTCCCCAAACCCAACGTCGACCAAAAATTCGTGGGTGGTTTGGACTGGTTTGGACTCACCGATCCAAACCACCGGGCTCCAAGCCACGAAGAAAAGCACGAGGAAGCTGAACCAAGGATCAACTAGGTCCCCCAGCGATCGGTGCCCTCTTGAACCGTTTCTTTTTTTTGGGGAGGGTTCCCCTACTAACACAGACTACAGACAAAAGTTGGTACCCTTGTTCTATCCTCTCCGCTGGAGGACCTAGTCAAACGAGCGCCCAACCTGTTTTTCCCCGTGGCTGGGGGTCGTAGGGCGGCCCTCGGACGCCCTGAGGTCGTTAGAAGACCAGGGGGTGGAGTTTGAGCCTGGCACGCACACGCGCACGCCTCAGACGCAAAGCGGAGGTCGGGAGCGGGCGGTGCCGTCCATTTGAGGCCCTCCTGTTGTGTTGAAATTGACTCAATATAACAAAGCTTGCATGTTCCGAAGCCATAATATATATATATGTACCAGTCCCTGGGCCACGTACCCCCCCCCCCCCCCCCCCCAATGGTATGGTCCCCCCACTCCCCCGCATCATCCGCATCTTGGGGATGATGCTGGCAATGCTGGGGATGCTGTCCAGTACCGTGCGAGCCCTGCAGCTTCGGTCCCAGACCCCCTTTTACCCCGTGAACCAACACCCCCGCACCTCTCGCAACATCCTACCCTAAACCAAACCACCCTGCAACCCCTCCTTAACCCCAACCCTAAGCCTAAATCAACCCAAAACCCAAACCCACCCGAAACCCACCGCAAACCAACCCTGAACCAACCCTGAACCAACCCTAAACCAACCCACCAAGCCTAAACCAACTCCGAACCACACCCCAAACCACCCAACCACCCAACCACCCAACCACCCAACCACCCAACCACCCAACCACCAACCACCCACCACCCCACCACCCCACCACCCCACCACCCCACCACCCCACCACCCCACCACCCCACCACCCAGCCCACCCCCCACAGGGGGGGGGGGGTTGGCCCAACCACCCAACCACCCAACCACCACCCCACCACCCCACCACCCCACCACCACCCCACCACCCACCCACCCCACCCCCACAGGGGGGGGGGGGGGGGGGGGGGGGGGGGGGGGGGGTGGGGGGGGGGGGTCCACGGCCTGGAACATATATATGGTACCCCCCCCCAAAGATCGACCATTTTCTGTGTTTTGTCTCTGGTGACACATCCCAGAATCTGCAAGGTCTCGGGCTTCTGGCTTCCCAACTTCATCTTGCATCTACCTTTTGGCTGCACAGGATGAACATGTTGAAAAAACCCGAAGAAATCAAAAGAAACAAACACATCAAAATCATCTTGCATCTGCCTTTTGGCTGCACAGGATGAACATGTTGAAAAAACCCGAAGAAATCAAAAAAATAAAAAAACACAAAATCATGTTGCATCTGCCTTTTGGCTGCACAGGATGAACATGTTGAAAAAATCCGAAGAAATAAAAAAAATCAAACAAAATCAAAAAATCAGGGTCCTGGGAGAGAATGCCCAGGTCAGAATCTCGGAAAGTGAATAAACCTCGAAGAAATCAAAAAAAAAGGTCCTGGAACAGAATGCCCAGACCCAGTGACTATCTCTCTCAAGGCCTTGATTTTTTCTCTATCAAGGCCTTGCAGGGCAAGAGCATCATCTTGCACACAGATAGCGCTCGATCCTACAAGCTCAAGATTGATGGCGTGGTGCATGACTCGGTGGTGCACAAGAAGAAGCTCGTCATCAAGAACGGCAAGCGCTCATGGAAGCCCCCGACCTATGTCAAGGTGGTGTCCCATAAGCTCCCTGGCGGCAAGCGCTTGTCGGTAAAAGCCGGCACGCAAATTATCGATCGCGCATGGCGATTCATTAAGGATCGCCTGAAAGCAAATCAGAATGTTAAGGCAGGCAGTGTGATTTTGCGGGCCCAGATCCGCTCTGCTCAGTATGAGTACTGGCAGAGGGGCAAGGACATGTGGTCCTGTGCAGGGCATTTGATGTCCTGCGTCCTCAAAACCCATACAATGCAAAACGCATGCCATCCAGCAACCGTCCTCAACACCACTGCACTTGAATGTCGACCCCAGCATATGCACATCTGTTTCTTGCAATAATGCACCGCATCTATCTCAAAACACAGAAAATGGTCGATCTTTGGGGGGGGCCATATATACATATATATACACACGCATCCGCCCCCCCCCCCATCATGTACCTGTTGTGTCTTGAAGTCTTTTTAAACTATTTCATACGTATAGAAAATAAGCATTTTAATGTTAGACTGCCTGGTGCCGCGGTTTGTATTATTTGTATACTTAAACGTGTGATGCAGAATCATGAACGTGTGTGTACAAACCCCTTGACCAGATTCTGGTCTCTTGTGACATTCCATATTGAATTGGCCCTGATATAAAAGCAATCACATCTACAGTGTTTTCTTATGTTCTACTCTTACGAAGTGCAAACAAACACTGTTGTTTGACATGTTTTTGATATATGCAAGAATTAAGTCTTATAAAACAAAAACAACTGAGGGGCATCATATATATATATATATATACATATTAAACACATCTCGCTGTTTTGCTTTCGTGAGGGATACTGAAAATACTGAGGGAAACCATTTTTTGAAAACACATCAAGAAAGCCAAAACAAAACACAAATACCAATCTCTGGGGAAATTATTTTGTTTCAGCCCCAAACTTTGTTTGTGTTTTGGTTTCTCAAGGTGTTTCTTTTTCCTCAGTTTGTTTTGTTATCCCTCACACAAACAACAAAAATCGTTCTTTTTTTTGGGGGGGAGGGGGGGGGGCGGTGAAATCTGGCCTTCTCAACAACCAACAAGTCGAGTTTGTTGGTTTTTGCGAGGGACAATGCCAAAAAGCAAAAAGAAACTGAGGGAAAACCAAAAAAAGCAAAAACGCTTGAGAAACCAAAGCAAAAACAACGTTTGGGGCTGAAACAAAATTATTCTCCTCCAGAGATGTTTTTTGTGTTGTTTTCTCCGAAACTCCAGTTATCTTTCGAGTTTCTGATCGTGGATGCCTTGCCATTGAACTATCTCATGTCAAGTGTGCGTCTGTGCCATTTGGAGTTCGTCGCTGTTTGCAGGCTAGGAACACTTGCTTGCTGCCGAGTTTTCAAACAAGCCAGGCTTTCCTGAAAGCAACGCCGAGAAAAACATCACTCCAAACCATGCTGAACTCACCTTCGTGGTCCAATGGCCGCGTCTCATCAGACCTCCTCAAAAGAAATTCATTTTGCAACCATTTGAAACGTGGCCTTTTCCACCAAAGTAAAGGGGAACCACCGCTTACAAGTTGCAAGGTTCAGGTGTATAATGCATCCGGATCCCAGCTCATGGCTTCTTTTGCTATGTGGCGGCAGGTGCTGGGCCTTCCACGGGTGCAACAACGAGGCGCTGGAGCGCCAAGCTCAGTTGGAGTGCACCCGGTGGATTGGATGGTTTGAATTCCCTGGTTTTTGGTAGGGGCTAGGTGGGAAACGCTGAGCCAAGCTAGTCCAAACCACCAATCCAAGCCACCAATTGGAAGGAACCTGACAAAAATACTGCTCTTAGCGTGCGTTTTTTTTTTGCTCGGCGGTATTTTGGTTCTATTCGGAAACATGTTTTGGGATATATTGCAAGGTATGGGAAGAAAACAGGTCGCTGACTCGGGTCCACACAGTGAAGCCCCATCGCCTTCTTTGGGCGCAGTGGCAGAGGAGTTGCTTTCAAAGGCACAAAATTTTGGACCTCCGGGGCTGGAAGCAGCTTTAAATCGGGGAAGCCAAGTAGGGATCAGGGGGCGCCAGACATACGGGAGGATTCCCCCCCATCTCCCCGCTCCCTCGGCATCCCCCGCTTGTTCGTCCGATTTGACCATGAAGGGGGGGCCTTGCCAGAAGGTCCTTCTGGGCTCTTCGCAAATCGCGCGCTCTGCTTCTCTTGCTGCTGCTCGGGAGTGAGAAATGGAGTGACCCTTCTAAAGCGTCCAGCTGGTGGTTTCCCTGGGATTCCCGACTTCCCTACCGATTTCGCACCGATCGCAAGTTTTTCACCAAGGGGAATTGTTGGGCTCATTGAACCCCACTCCCTACCTATGGCACCGATCGCAAGTTTTTCACCAAGGGGA